ATTTCACATACTTAGGAATAAATCTAAGAATTATAAAATCTCTACACAAGAACAACTGCGTGACTCCATTTAAATAAAGTTTAAAAACAGACAAACAATGGTGTTAGACCTCCAAATGTGATTCCATTTCATAAGATTGGCTGTGGTCTGAATGTTTATATTCACCACGCCCCAATTCATATACTGAAATCTCAACCTGTCATGATTTGGGTATATGTCTCCCAAAAGCTCCTGTTAATGCAGGAATATTCAGGTGAAATTATTAGATCACAAGAGCTGTAACCTAGTCAGTCCATCCTAGTTTGATCGGACTGACTAGACAGTAACTGCTGGCAGGTGGCGTATGACTGGAGGAAGTGGGTCATGCCCTCCAAAGGCGCATCTTCCCTGTGACCCCTTCCCTTCTCCTTTCCTCTCTGCTTCCTGACCCTGCCAAGAACTGAGTAGCTTTCCTCTGCTAGGTCCTCCCCGGACAAGTGCTGCCTTGCCTTGGGCCCAGAGTAAAACACTTGGGCATCTATGGACTGAGCCCTCTGAAATTGTGAACCCCAAATAAACTTTTTCTCCTTGTTGCGCATTTTGGACACAGGGATGCAAAAGCTAACTAAATCAAACCCCAAAATATTAAGAGATGGGGGATGGGGCCTTTAGGAGGTGATGATGGTGTCCTCATGAATAAGATTAGTGATCTTATTAAACATCTGAGGGCCTGAAGGAGTTCTTTCACTGCCTTCCCTCATGGGAGGTTAAAGCAATATGGTGGTCAGTGAGAAAGTAGGCCCTAGTGAGACACTGAATTTACCAGCACCATGACCTTAGATTTCCCAGGCTCAAGAACTGTGAGAATAAATTTCTGTTGTATATAAGCCACCCACAATTTATGATATTCTGTTACAACACCTGAACAGACTAAAAAAACTGGTACTGAGAAGTACTATAACAAATATCTAAAAATATGGAAGGGGCCATAGAGCTAAATAACAGAAGCTAGAAAGGTAAAGGACTGGGGTTATGGCTCAGTGGTTAAGTACCTTGGGTTTAATCACCATACAAAAAATGAAAAAGCAAAGCACATGCAAGGCCTTTAACATTGATAACATGAAATAATCTATAACATAAATATAAATAGAAGTGTTAATGATGGTTATCTCAGAGTTGGCACAAGGAAGATTCATTCCTCATGTATGGTATAATCAAGAAAAACCATCTCAAAAAAAAAAAAAAAAAAACAAAAGAAAGAAAAACCATCTCAACCTTTCCCTTGTCTAATACACATTACACATAGGAATGAGGGAACCCTCACCATTCTTGCTCAAGCACAGTTTTACTTCTCTTCAACTGGCAAAGAGAATTGCAATTTTTGGGGGGGTGGGTACCAGGGATTGAACTTGGAAGCACTTGATCACTGAGCCACATCCCCAGCCCTATTTAGTATTTTATTTAGGGACAAGGTCTCACTTAGTGCTTCACTGTTGTTGAGGCTGGCTTTAAATTCGCAATCCTCCTGTCAGCCTCCCTAGCTACTGGGATTATAGGCATATGTCACCGTACCCGGCTGAATATTTAATGTGCTTACTATGTTTCTAAGAGGAGTCGATTTTTTTTGTTGTTTTTGGATTCTAATATGAAGTGGAAATAAGGCACTTCAGAGGATTTGCTAACTCACAATTTTCTACAAAGAATAAGGAGGGCAACTAACAGAATAATTAGAATGGATCAGAAATGATGTCATGTAGTTTCCAATACTTATTGAAAGTGAGGACAGAGGAACATAAGGCATAAGAGAAGTGTAATTACTATATGTCCCATCTAAATAGTAAAATATCAATGTCAGAGCATCAAAAATTTCAAAGAGCCTAGTATGGTGAAGCATGCCTGTAATCCAAGCAGTTCAGAAGGGTGAGACCCTAAGTAATTTAGCAAGGATCTGTTTCAAAATAAAATACATATATTTAAAAAAGGGCTGGAGATGTGGCTCACTGATTAAGCAATCCTGGGTTCAATCCCTGATACAAACAACAACAACACTACCAAAAGAACATATAAACAACTTTGCCTGGTGTGACTTAAAGGCAAGAAGTGGGATGCTGACTGGGGATTATTAAAAAATAAGGCGTTGTGGCGTATGCCTGTAATTCTAGAGGCTTGGGAAGTTGAGGCAGGAGGATCGAGAGTTCAAATCCAGACTCAGCAAAAATGAGGCACTAAGCAACTCAGTGTGACCCTGTCTCTAAAATAAAAATACAAAATAGGTTTAGGGATGTGGCTCACTGATTGAGTGCCTCCGAGTTCAATCCCTGGTACCTTCTCCCCCAAAAAACAAGGATGGGGGGAAGAAAAAAAATAAAAACCTGAATTTATACTTTCACAAAGATTCCTAATGAATACATCAATGAATCAATACATGATGACTTTAGACAGGACCTCTGGAATTCTGATACTTTAAAGACATGAATCAGATGCTCCAAATTTCTTTTATACATACTATCTCATTTAGATTCATTTACAACTCTTAAGTGAGTTCCATTTTAATTTTGTAGAGAAAGAAACCTTTGCTTAGTAATTAATTACCTGTCTTGGGCTCAAACAGGTTCAATATGGATATCACAAGATTTGGGTCTTTCTGATTCTGAAAGTTCATAATCTTTTATTACATCAGGCTGCTTAACAGATACTCTGACAATAAATGTTTAAATAATTAAAGCCACTAGCCTACTTACTCAGAAAAGTTTATATTAGGCAAGAAAACTAATGATTTAATTTATTTTAATACTCACATAATTGTATAGAAAAAGCATATTGGCTAAAAACCACAAATTCCCAATACTATGCATTGAAATATGCTATTCTTCTGCCATAAGAATTCAGGTTTGCTCTCTGTGCTTCCTTGTTACCATGTCCTGGGCAGCTTTCCTCTGCCATACCCTTCTGCCATGAAGTTCCGCCTCACCTCAGGCCCAGAGCAACAGTCAGCCATCTATGAACTGAGGCCTCTGAAACTGCAGTTAGAAGACCCTTCCACAATTGCCAAAGATTTTAATAGCTAGACTTTGAATTACTAGGTCCTCAAGATCCACCAAGTTCCCCCAAGGCCACATTCCAGTTGCTGCCACAGTCATTTTATAATGCAGGACTCGACTTGGATATCAAACCCTATTCTGCTACTGATACATAACAAAACACCTCATTATCTCTCAGAGTCCCTTGGGGTTGGGAGAGAATTCACATTTAATGCAATTGTCTAAGGGCAAGAGGAACAAAGCACAATCTGTAGGGGGGTGGTATGTTTGTCCTTCAGTAGAAATTAGATTATGCTGAGTTATATCTAATAATCAGTCTGTGGAAATGGTAAAAAACTATAGATGGTGATAAAATCACTATAGATACAAGCTATTTTCAGAATATCTAGACAGGCATGGTGGCACACGTTTATAATCCCAGTGACTCCAGAGGCTGAGGTTCTAAGCAATTTAGCAAGATTATCTCAAAAAAATAAAAGGACTGGGGATGTGGGTCAGTGGTTAAGCACCCCTGGGGTTCAATCCCTGGTACTAAAAACAAACAAAGCAACAAATAGCTATAATTCAAACACTGAAATTACAAAATTAATAAACCAAAGTATTTTCTAATTTAGTCTTTATCACAGATTTTCTTTAAATAGCTATTATCAAAAAACATACTTCAAATACTCTTCCCAAAGTCTATCTCTGACAACTTTTCTGCATATATATCAAATAGTCTAAAATGACATATTCCTGAAAATAAGAAGTATATTTTACTAATGCTGTGAAGATTAGAATTTTAGCCACAGAACCAACAACAACAAAAACTTAACTACAGAAATGATTTGAAATTAGTTACAGAATTTATATACGAAATTAACATTTGTCAGGGTTGACTACAGCTCAGTTGATAAAGTATTTGCCTAGCATGCATGAGGTCCTGGGTTTAATCCCTAGTACCTTCACCAACCAACCAACCAACCAACTAAAAACAAAACACAAAAATAAACATTTATGAATTGTATCACCAAATTACGCCTTTTTAAAAAAAATTTTTTTTAATTGTAGATGGACACAATACCTTTATCTTACTTATTTTTATGTGGTGCTGAGAAAAGAACCCAGGGTCTTACATGTGCTAGGCTCATAATTCAAACCCTGAAATTACAAAATTAATAAACCAAAGTATTTACAGTCTAATTTACAGTCTATCTTCTCTATCACTGAGCCACAACCCCAGGCCCAAATTATGTTTTTTGAGGATAGAAAGTAAATATTAAAAGCCAAAGAAATAATTCTATGCTAAATGCAACTTCCAGGAAGTATGTTTATAAACATCTTTCCAAAGGAGTCATTACTTTTCCTAGCATTATTTTTACTCTTCACTGACTTTAGATAGCATGGGGAATACCAAAGACACTGAAGAGCTTTTTTCTGTTTTCAATGAGTTTACTTCTTCCAAGAAGAAAAAACTATACTAAGGTAATATAAAATGGTCTGATAATTGAGTATTGCTTATAGAAGTTTATGTATCACTCATTCTTTTGTTCTCATTCATTCTTGGCCAGCATTTACTTACTCTGTCATCTAATTTAACCTTTCAAATGGAAAAAGTATGAAAGTGATATTAAAACTATTGTTTTACTATAACTATTTACTATAAACTACTATAAACTAAAAAGTATGAAAATGACATTAAAACTATTGTTTTACTATAACTATTTACTATAAACTATTGAGGAAGAAAAGAAGGGACCTTTATCTTTTTTACCACATTAGTCAAAAAGGCAGGTTACTGAGCTGAGTAGGTAGTAATAACTATGATTTAGGAATAATAATAAAATCAAACTTATTTCTTAAACTAAAGACTCAGGGAAAGGTAATCAACAACAAAAACAATATAAAAAGGAAATACAAATATGCAATAAAAAGTCTTCCACATGGAAGAAGCCAGTTTACAGAAATAATCATCTTTCACTCTTACCCCATGATACTTACTTGCCATCTGTGTCTGATGTAGCTGCATAATGTAGGGGTGTGCAGCCTCTTTCATCAAGGTCATTCACACTTGCTCCTGATCCCACAAGAGCAAACAGGCACTGGTAATTGCAGTTGGCAGCAGCATAGTGCAGTGGAGATCTGTGTGTCAAGTTAATAAAAGATAAAAGCCAGGGACATACACTAGTAAACAAGAGCATAGTTGACTTTTACTCTACATTTATAAACACTGTGTTTATGATGGGCCTTTCAATGACTTCTAATATACACCAAGTCTTTTTAGAGGACATAAAACTAGGAGGAGAAAGCAAAGTGGTAGAGAATGTTTTGGTATAAAAAATATAATCAAAACAGTTATTCAATGGTTCTTAAACAGCTGTAATCCAGTCCCCTGAGTGGATTATAATCTTCATATTCTGATCAGAAACTGGAAAGCTTTCATTTTAACAAAGCTTCTCCTACTGCTAATAAAAAAAAAAAAAAATAGAAGCAGAAGTCTCTACTCAAGTCTCAGTAGAGAAATAAAGTATAAGAGAAAAAAACAGAAGCATTATAAAGAATGCTCCATTATATCAACTGCATGATAAGCCTACATAGTAGTAGTATCAGACTTCTCATGCAATAAAGACAATTTTGAAGACTATTCACTACTCAGAAGAGTTAGAGTACTGTTTTAATTTCTAAAGACTGAGTATTTGTAGTTGATTCCTTTTTTGGCATCGGGAATTGAACCAAGGGGTGTTTAACCACTGAGTAACATCCCCAGTACTTTTTGTATTTTATTTAGAAACAGGGTCTCACTGAGTTGCTTAGCACCTTGCTAAATTGCTGAGGCTGCCTTTAAACTTAGAATCCTCCTGCCTCAGCCTCCTGAGTGACTGGGATTACAGGCGTGTGCCACTAGCTTCCAGCTGTAGTTTATTTCTTTGTGGTTAATAAAGTGAAAGAGAATGTTACTAAATTTATGAGTAAACTATTTTAGGATCACAAAACTGATGATTCCATAATTTCACTACCCTCCCCCAAACCAAGAAATATGATTGTAAAGTACAGTTTAGTCTTCACGGTACAATTTTTACCTAGTAAAATATTATTCTGTCTATGGTACATTATACAGATATATATTTAAAAATGCAATTAACCCTCAATTCCTTTAAAGCTTATAAGGTCAGAATTTGCTTCAGAAGTCCCCACTGCTATTTATACTACAGAGTACTTGATATGCAATAAAATTATTTTAGACAGATTAAAGTATAATTATTAAAGCAAATTAACTATAAAATATTGTATTCCAAAGCCAAACAAAATGATTATAATTTTGTGGGTCATTAGTTCCTTCCATTAGTAGGCTTATGAGATCAATTTGTTATTCAAAGCAGTTTTTTCTTCTATTCATTTTTTATTTCCTACAAACATAATTATTTTTACTTTTCTTCTGAAATGGTCCAATCACATGCACTGATATTTGCACATTTCCTTCTAATACACACTCTTCCCTGTCACAGACTTTGATAGGCACAGTTCTCAACTGTTGACACGTTTAATTTTGTTCATAATGCCACTTCTATCTTTCAAACAAATACCACCCATTAATTCTTTCCTGTAGAGTCTTAATACATTCTGTGCTTTGACAGGAATATACAATGGTAGCTTCAAATATCACTACCACAAATGCTAGTTACAGTAAAGCCTGGGGCTGAACAGTAAGAAAACTGGCTGAATAACAACAAAGAAATCTGGTCATTTCATAGCTAACTTTCTGAAGATTATTCTCAGTGGGATATGTGAATGGGTGTATGAGATTTACATAGAAGAGAAAGAAAACTCACACACACACACATATTTGAAACCTATTTCCTCTCTTTAATAGTGCTTTGTAACCAGAAATAGCAAGTAGGATGTCTCACAAGGGAATGATTTCCGACAAGAATTGTTACTGTATCCTAGGTACTATGAATTTCTTGAAGGACCATAGGTACCAAGGAATATCAAAATTTTTATCGCCATAATTATGGGAGAAGTGGTATCAAAAAGCACTTACTTACAAGGGTAAGACTGTGGCTAGTATTCTAGGGCTTTGGGAGGGGACCAAGTGGAAGGAGACTGAATGAGAACTAATATTTAGAAGATATTGACTTTAGATAGGACTCTCAATGAATCATGATCACAAAGCCAAAGATATGGAATCTTTAATTCTGTCTTCTTTTTGGTTTTTTAACAATTCTGAGACAGGCCCTCATTAAGTTGCTAAGGCCATCCTTGAACTTGTGATCCTCCTGCTTTAGCTTCCTGAGTCACTGGGATAACAGGCATGTGCCACTATGCCCATCTCTGAATTGTTAATTTTTAGAAATCAATTAGAAGGTAAAGCAAATTGTTAAGTAAATAAAATCAGTTTCTACAGAGAAACTATATAACATGACCTACCTCCCAAATTTGTCCTTTTTGTTGAAATCTGCACCAGTATTCAGCAGGAGGTTTAGGCACTCCAAATTCCTATTAGGTAAAAGAAAAAAACTTAATTGTCAGAGATTTTGCAGTAAAATTGGTAAGTTTAAATAAGAATTTTTATTCGTATTTATTTATTTTTTAAGGTGGACACAATGTCTTTATTTTATTTTTATGCGGTGCTGAGAATCGAACCCAGTGCCTCACACATGCTAGATGAGCACGCTACCACTTGAGCCACATCCCCAGCCCTAAATAAAAATTTTTAAATGAGGATAAATATGAAAAAAATAGCATGATTTACATTCTGTGAAGAATAAAACATTAGAATTCATCTTATCTAAAATTTAAGAAATTATGTATATAAATACTGGTACATTCACAGAAAATAACAAATGACTCATATCATTGTTTTCTTCCTTCTAGGAAGAGCACATTTGTAAAAGAGGGCCTAAGGAAATTTTAGGAAACCATATGCTTGTAATTAAATGGTTTAAATTTAAGTGGTTTTCAATACCAAATTTAAATAGATTAAAAAACCAAAAAACTTTAAAAACATACCCAAGTCAGTTCTCCATTATCTTCTCCTATACTATTTTTTTTTTAATTTTTTTTTTTTCAGTTGTAGATGGACATTATACCTTTATTTATTTACTTTTATGTGGTGCTGAGGATCAAACTCAGGGCCTCACACATGGTAGGCAAACGCTGTTCCCCTGAGCCACAACCCCAGGTCTCTTCTCCTATACCATTAATGCTTACTTAGATGCCTCAATTAAAATAACAGGAGAAAACATAATACTCATGGGTATTCCTGAAATTTAATTTTTATAATTTTGAACATCAATTAAGTTGAAAACTGTAACTGCCAAATAATCAGACAAGTCTGTTGGTCCTCTCTCTGAGGGCAAGTTACATGGAAATTAGCTTTTAACCATACCATTCTCTGGAGACCACAAAAGAATAAGGGAGTCAGTCACATTCTCACAATCCATTTATGGATTGTGGTATTCTTGATTTAGAGCACACTTGTCTTCTGAAGTCTCTGGAAATTTTTAAGGAATTATCATTGGAAATAAAGTTCTTGCAAAATGTCCTTCTGACAATCACAAATTAAAAGTAGCTTATCACATATCTAAAGAAGCATCAGATTAGCAACATGCTTTCAGAGACTTAAGGGTTTTAATTGAAGTTTGTCATTCAACAGAACCAATTGCCTTGTTTCCCCATAAGCTATTTTAAAACAGTCCAAAATCTCCAATCTCAAAATTTTCTTTTCCCAGTAGTATCAAGACATAAACACCACCAACATTTTTTCCCTTAAGATATGGTTTAAAAAGTATCTGAAAAGCATTAGTATTTTTTTTTAAACTGCCATTCTTTTTTTTTTTAATCTAAAGCATCATTGATTTCCATCATAGGTTTTTTTTTTTTTTTTTTAAAGAGAGAGTGAGATAGAGAGAGAATTTTAATATTTATTTTTTAGTTATCGGCGGATACAACATCTTTGTTTGTATGTGGTGCTGAGGATCGAACCCGGGCCGCACGCCGCACTACCGCTTGAGCCACATCCCCAGCCCCGAGCATTAGTATTATAGAGAACATTCTAAATGGTTTGTTGTTCTCATTGACTATAGAAGACATTTTTTACTTGAGGAATCACTATATTCATTTCTTCTTTTATCCAGGAATTGTTTTCACTTAAAAAAATATATATATACTTCCTTTTGTAGGCTTTCTCTCCTTCCCCCAGTTAAAATCTATGACTTAGGTAAGAGAGGATTGGGGGTGGGGGGCACGCAAGCGATTTCTGCTACTTTGGACTTCCTTTATATGTGTGTGTGTGTGTGTGTGTGTGTGTTACTGGGGACTGAATCTAGGTGCACTCCACCACTGTTAAATCCTCAGTCCCTTTTCTTTATTTTGAGATAGGACCTTGCTAAATTTCCTAGGCTGACCTTTAACTTGAAATCCTCCTGCCTTGGTCTCCAGAGTTGATGGGATTACATGCATGTACCACTGCACTCAGGACTCCCCCCCAATCATTCCTTTTACGTTTTCTTATTTTTTTGGTGACCCAGAAATAAGTAAGAGGAACAAAAACAAGAAAAACTGCCATGACCAGCTTTCTTTGTCATTGTCATTGTGCTGGGGATCAAACCTAGGACCTCACACATTCCAAGAAGCATGTGCTCTACTACTGAGCTATATTATATATACTCCCAGCCTCCCCTCCTATTTTTTTTTAAAGAAATAAAAATAGTATTTACATACCCTCCAGCTGCAGCTGCATGTAGACAAGTCCTGCCAAAATCATCTGGGGTATCGATTTCAAATCCTGTAAGAATGTATGTTTTATCGATTATATAATATTATAGATGTGTTACTTTAAAGTATTATATCAAGAAATGTCAAGAATCATAACTTTTCCTCCAATCCTAAATAAAAACTATGAGTTCTGAATATGAACAAATGAATGAAAATATTTTTAATAATGTACAATATTACAAAAAAAAATTTACCAGTATTAGATTGGTGTTTCAAAACAAATATTAGAGTGTTCTTTTTAAAAGGCCATACCAGGCATGGTGTCATGAACTGTTAGTCTCCTAGCTATGTAGGAGACTGAGGCAGGAGGATCACTTTTCAGAAGTTTGAGGTCAGCCTTGGCTATTTAGCAAGATCCTATCTCAAACAAACAACTCAGACTTCTAAAAAGGCCACAGGATACCATGGAATATTATTCAGCAATAAAAAGATACTGATAATGACACAAAGATGACCCTTATGAACACAGTGATTCCATTCTATGAACTATTTAAAATGGGCAAATTTAAAGACATAGAAAGTAGATTAGTGGTTACTTAGGGATAGGGGAGGGCAAAAATGGAGAATAATTTCTAATGTTCCTTTTTTATTTTTAACAAGGGATTGAAGATTTTTAAAAATGGCTTGTTATGATGGTTATCCAACATACTAAAATATATTGAACTATATTATTTTTTTTAATACTTATTTTTTAGTTGTAGTTGGACACAATACCTTTTATTTTATTTATTTATTTTCATGTGGTGCTGAGGATCGAACCCAGGGCCTCGCACATGCTAGGTAAATGCTCTACCACTGAGCCATAACCCCAGGCCCGAACTATGTTCTTTAAAGGGGAAATCATAAGGCTTTTTCAAAGAGCAATAAGTGTTTGTTACCTGTACATTATTACTGCTAAGAGATACTATTTAGTATTTTATTATCATTATGTATTTAATAATTGAAAGCACTTAATAAGAATCATAAATTGGTAGTAATAACTTAGAAATCTATCATCTTGGTTTTGTTTTTTCCTTTTTGATACAGGGTCTCACTAAAGTTGCCCAAGCTGGCCTTGAACTTGTGATCCTCCTGCCTCAGCCTCCTGAGAAGCTGGTATTACATGCGTAAGACATAGCACCCAGATCCTGTTTTGTTTCAAACAGACTATTAGAATTTAAACTACTAATTATATACTGCATAAATAATTTCATCAGATCACAGAACATACTTGTTTCTTGAAATGGAAGTCAAGACCAATAAGACATACAAATAAAGATTTTTTGCTTCCAGTTATTAAAGGACAATCCAAGAAGACTGCCATCTAATGAACAGAAGAAATATCTAAAAATATCCCATACCCCACTCCAGCTAAAAAAGAAGAGGAAACAATTATAAAAATAAAATATTTTCTCTAGCTGATGAGAAAAATCAAGTTTTAAAATTATACTATGTTTATGTATGAATATAACAAAATGAATTCTGTGTATGTACACATCTATATAAAACTATAATACACTAATTGAAGTAAGAATATTAATATTGGTACTGTTACAAGTACTACTACTACTACTAGAAAGAAGGTCAGTAGAGCAAGAAAATGGGGCAAAGAAGAGGAGCAGCAAAGGGAAGGTACTGGGAACTATGACTGATCAAATTATGTGCATGTATGAATATGGAACAATGAATTCCTCTATTATGTATAATTATAATGCACCAAAAAAACAAACAAAAAAACTGAACAGTCAAACATCTAAGAGGTATTAATGAGTAATCTATACTTGGATCTATTTATAAGTAATTAAAAAAAAAAAAGATAAAGACATTGTCTTAACACTAGGAAGGGAGGGAAAAAACCCACAGAAAAACAAAAGAATTGGTCTGTGAAGGCTCCATTTACCTGAAGAAAGAAGTTTCCTGCAGCAATCTGAAAAACCACTTAAGGCTGCCAAGTGAAGGGGGAACATTCCATGTATGCCACGCCTAAAGTTAACAGAATAATACATTAATTACAACACAAGAAAAATATAATCATTTAAATAAATTACATACAGACTACTTAAATAAAAGATACCAGATGAGTCAAAACTCCCCAGACTTTGGAGAATAATATGGTCAGAGTGTGAAAATAGGTAGAATTTACCACATAGTTATATTTTTCCTAGAGTAGGTTTTTTAACCTCAGCACTATTGTCATTACAAACTTTATCATTGTTGGAGTATACATTTTACGTTCAGAATGTTCACCAGCGTTCCTGGGTTATACTTACTAGATGTAACACCTTCCTTCTCAACCAAAAATGTCTCTGGACTTTAGCTTAGGGAGCAAAACTAACTCCCATTTTTGCCCTACCATTTAAAACCATTCCCACAAGGCAAGATGTTCAAGAATGTTCATCACACTTATTAAAAGTAAAAAGTATGAAGCAAATTATGTTTGCAAGTAAGGAGGATAAAGTGTGAAACATTCATATAATAATTAAATACCACAAAAATAAAAGAACTAGAGCTACTGGTAGAGACATCAATCAGCTCCAAATTTATATCTTACACAGTAAGTCAATGTGAATTTTTTATAAAAGTTGCAAAAAAGATGTACAGTAGATATGTACAGCATGCCATTTATAAATGTATAGAAGATAGAAAATTTCTTAAGGAATAGATAAATGTGATACACAGAAATAATAAACACTAATTTAAGTACAATATTCATTTCTGCAAGGTCCATACAAAAGATCTCATCTTTCAAGTAAAATTTCACAGGAAACCTTATTATGTAAAATAAATAAAAGTGAACTGATCTGACTAAAGTGGGAAGCAGGGGACACACTGTAGTAGCAACCAAGGAATCCATGAGCTCTGCATAACAGTCTGAAAACAATCATCTAGATAGTATTTGGATGAAAACAAAAAGTGTGTACAATTTTGTCAGACTCCCAAGTCCCTGGGATTACAGATGTGTGCCACCACACCTGTTAACTTTTCCCCCCAAGTCTCTTAAATACTTCCACACTAAAAATAAAGATCTCAAAAATTAAATCTCTGATCAAAATTGCAATTAGTTATGTTTGAAAAAGAAATGTAAAATATGTAAAAAAAAAATATGCTACCTTGACTTGACAAGAAAATTATATTTATACATTTATATACCATACTGGCAATAAAAAGGATAAGGAAAAATTCAAGTATAATACTGAGGACAAAAATCTACATTTCCATCTGAAGTATTTAGAAAACTATACTTCACCCTCCTTTTGTATTTCCCTGTGATAGCTATCAACACCTCTGTAAGTACTACTTACTTTGCAGTGTCAGCACCACTTGTGATAAGAGTGTTGATCAGCAGCTCGTGGCCATAACGTGCTGCTATGTGCAAAGGGGTATTTCCATTCTTATCTTCACAGTCAATTACAGCTCCTGTAAAAAAAAAAAAAAAAAAAAAAAAGGCACAATGTCAGACCCTGGACTATATAAAGATCAAGTCCAACTTATTACGTGCAATGTAATATAAAACACCTCTTAAGTAGAAACTAATGGATACAGCACTTCTAACTAAATTTTATTCATACCATACTTACTGGGTCAGGAAGTTGGGGTTACAGGTTTTATGGCTGAAGCAGTTTTGTAAATTGAGCATAAAATTTTAATATACTTTAAAGCCAAGCATGGTGGTACACACCTGTAACTCAGCTATCCAGCTACTTGGGAGGCCAACGCATGAAGATCACAAGTTTGAGGTCAGCCTGGGCAACTTAGTAAAAATCTTTCTCAAAATCATAAAATAAAATAAAAATAAAGGGCTAGGTGTAGCCTAGTAGTCGTATACTTGTCTAGCATGTGCAAGATCCTGGATTCAATCTACAGTACTGCTTATTAAAAGAAAAAAAAAAAACATTTTAATATACTTAAAATTGACAAAAGACTTCAAGGGTCTAGCAAAATTTAAAAACCATTATGCTAGAACAAAATCAAGCACACTTCTTTAGAGCAAAATTTTTCATAGCTTCAATGTGCACATTCTGCACCATTAAGAAGATTGTATATACTGCTCGAAAAATTATTTGATTATGAATTTGTTCCTAGTTTTTACCTACAAAACTATAGTACCAGCTGAGTGTGTGTACCTGTAATCTTATCAATTTAAGAAGCTGAGGCAGGGGGACTGCAACTTTGAGGCCAGTCTCAGCAATTTACCCAGACTCTGACTCAAAAAGTTAAAAAAAGAGCTGAGGATGTAGCTCTGTGGTAGAATACCCCTGGGTTCAATACCCAGTACCAAAAATAAAAAAGCAGAAAAACAAACAAAAACACAAGCAAAACCTATAGTACTTATTCTATCTTGAGGACTATTAAACAGCTCCTTCAAACATGGTTTGTGAAATAATGACTTAAACATACCTAAAAGTTTTTTATTTAAAAGTTTAGCTTGCCTAATAAAAAAGTCAAACACAAAATGAAAGAAGTTCATAAAAATCAACTAAAATTCTAAAAATTTAAAATATTCAAAAGGCAAAAAAAAATAATATATGTTAATATATATAATACTTGTAATGGAAAAGGCAGTTTTCTACCAAGCAATGTTGATTAAAAAAAAAAATGAAAACTAACTGCTATGGAAAATGTATAAATAGAAAATTAAAATTCTGAAAGATACACATGCATAGCATTTTATACTCTATAACTTGATTTTTTAAGAGATCTGAAGTCAAATATTAAAAATTTATGGATTACAACAATTAATACCATTCATTTTGTGGATGTTTTTACTAAAATAAAGAAATAAAAAACAAACAGAAATACTTTTTACCACTCTGGATAATGGTTTGTGATCTGGAGAATCTACCGTGGAGGGCAGTCATGTGCAGAGGGGTTTTCCCATCCTTACTCTGAAATGATTGAACAAAAAACAATTTTTAAAAATTACTATTATTATATTAAAAAATACTATTAGAATATGTAATGTTTAGTTTTATTTTGAATATCCTCATTTTCATCTTCTACAACTATTTCTCAAGCATTAAGTTTAGTTGAAGCCTATGGAGATAAAAATAGCTGTTCTGTTCAAAATTATGAAATAATTTTTTAAGCATGAATATCATACTATACAAATGTACAAAAAACTCCATAATCACAGTTTATAAAAAACTCTATATGGTCCATATGATCTGATCTTAATATTAATCTTACTCCATAGGTGAGGAAACTGAGGCACATAACCATGAATGACACAATCAAGATGTGCTTCCTAAGTTTAAGACTCAAAATTTCATACAGTTCCAATGCTTTCATTCTATGAAATCATAAGCCCTATCATTTTTGACACACTGGGGATTGAACCAAGAGGTACTCCACCACTTAACAGGCCCTTTTGTTTTTTATTTTGAGGCAAGGTCTTGCTATACTGTCAAGGCTGGCATTGAACTCATGATCCTCCTATGTCAGCCTCCCAAGTCACTAGGATAACAGATGTGTGCCACCATGTCTAGCTTGAAGGAGGGTCTTGACAAAGGAAAAGTGAATATTGGAATTAAACTTGGATACTATAAATCATTTAAAAAACTATATATAATAATTTGTTTATAATTATTTGTAATCAACATTGTTAATCATTTTCTCAAATCACTTAATACGTTAAACTGGTTGCGCATTTATATACTGTAGAAATTCTATTTTTTTTTTATTGGTTGTTCAAAACATTACAAAGCTCTTGACATATCATATTTCATACATTAGATTCAAGTGCGTTATGAACACTGTAGAAATTCTAAAGGCATTCTCAATATGAAGAAAAATAATCCCTGATGTAGGTAATAACTTTTCTTCAGAGTTAGGTAATTTCTTTTTTCCCCCTAAAACTTTTAGGTTGGCTGGGTGCAGTGGCATATGCCCGTAATCCTAGCTGCTTGGGAGACTGACGTAGGACAATTACTAGTTTAAAGCCAGCCTTAGCAATTTATCAAGGCACTAAGCAACTTCACAAGATCTGTCTCAAAATAAAAAATAAAGAAGGGCTGGGGATGTGGCTCAGTGGTTAAGCACCCCTAGGTTCAATGCCTGGTACCAAAAAAATAAATAAATAAACAAAATCTTTTGATTAATAAAAACATATAAAGAAAAGAAACTATGTTGTAGTTCTAACTGCTGAGCAATACCCAGCATATTATATGATTGTGTACATACTGAAACTGAAATGTGACAAGAGCCCTAGGTTTATACTAACACCATTATAATGGAGACCTCAAGAAAGCCTCATGCCATGTGGACTATTACGAAAGCACATCATAAATACATAAACCTAGGTGTTTTAGTTTATAATTAAAAAAAAATTTTTTTAGTTGTTGATGGACCTTTATTTTTATTTATTTATATGTGGTGCTGAGAATCAAACCCAGTGCTTCACAATTGCTAGGCAAGCCACAACCCAGCCCAAGTCCATAATTTTATATAAAATTTTCACATATACAAGCAAGTGATCCAAGTAATCTTAAAACCAAGTAATCTTAAAAAAATTTTCAACCCTGGAGGAAATTTGAAAAGGGATGAGGGAGAGAGGATACATGCTTGCATTGCTACTTGCCATAAGCAAAAATTTGGACAAGTTTCCTACTAGAGACTTCACTTCCTCAACTGAAAATGAAGATAATAACTAACATCTATTCATCATAGATCTGTTGTTCAGAGTAAATATGATACTTTTTGGAAAACTTCATATACCATACATACTATAAATGCTTATTTTAATATAAAATTATCATTTTTACTTCAAGCTTTTTTCTTTTTCTTTCGGGTAATAGAGATTGAACTCAGAGGCCTCTACCACTGAGCTACTTCCTCCACATCCCTTTTACATTTTTTCTTTTGAGATAGGGTGTCACTAAGTTTCCAAGGCTGGCTTTGAATTTGCAATCCTCTTGCTTCAGCTGTCTGCATTGCTGGGATTATAGGCATAATCCGTTGTACCCCAATTTACTTGATGTTTTAAAGTATGTCAGTTTTTTTTTTAATTTTAATTTTTAAGCTATAGATGGACACAATATCTTTATTTATTTTTATGTGGTGCTGAGCTCACCACTGAGCTCTACCATTGGGCTATAACAGCAGCCCCCCAGTTGTTATTCTTTCAGTCAGGAAAAAACAAAACAAACAAACAAACAAAAACCGCACAACAACAACCAAAAAACAAAACCATTTTAATAAAATAATTCTAATTCATTATTTGAAAATGTTTCCTATGTTGCCAATTTTATCTACAGTCTTTTTATTTGGGGTGTGTGTATATATGTGAGAAAGAGAGAGAGGGAAGTACTGGGGATTAAACCTAGAGGTACTTTACCACTAAGCCACATCCCTAATCCTCTTTACTTTTTATTTTGAGACAGGGTCTTAGAAGTTGCACAGGGCCTTGCTGAGTTGCACAGGCTGGCCTTGAACTTGCAATCCTATTGTCTCAGTCTCCCTAGCCACCGAGATTATAGGCATGATTATAGGCATAGGATACTAGTTCTACAGCTTTGGTTCCCACAAAAAACAAAAACACCACCAAACAAAGAAAGACTTCTAATAAAAACTAGGATTCAGGGCTGGGATTGTGGCTCAGTGGTAGAGCATTCACCTGGTGCTTGCAAGGCCCTGGGTTTGATTCTCAGCACCACATAAAAATAAATAAATAAAAATAAAGGGATTGTGTACAACTAATAAAAATAAATATTTTAAAACAAACCTAGGATTCATAAAATGATGAAATTGGGATGATCTCACTAGTTAACATTTATACACATAGTAATCAGTATATTTCAGGTCAATTTTAAAACACTTAGATATACATATAAAATCAGTCATTTAATCCTCACAATCCTATTAGAAAGATACCATTGATCCTATTTTATAGAAAAAGTAAACTAGGCCCTGAGGTTAAAGGACTCAACCAAGTCTGATCTAGTAAGTGGTAGAGTCCTTTATTGTAAGCCTACAGGCACCATTTGAGTAATATTTTTACTTTCTGCATACTGATCATAAAAAGTATTCTAAATATACAAAGGAAGAAGAGCTTTGCATTACCAAATAAGAAGTCTGCCTTAACATATTAGGAAGGCATATTTATTTCTCTCTGTACTGAAGAAGCAACATGGAGTTTTACTTAACCCCTCAAAGCAAATAAATAGAAAGACCCACAAACATTTTAAGAGTTGATATTGAATATGACCAAAACCCAGTAATAACAAAAGGCCACAAATTTTACAATTTTTAAGTTTAAATATTAAAAGAAGTACTTGATGTATTCCGTTTAGCTGACTCAACTTTATTCTTAAAGAACAGAGTGGGTGGGGAAAGCAATCAATACAGAAGGGCTCATGTTAAGCAAATTTATAAAAACCAGACCTATGTTGCCTTTTAAAGTCCACTCATTTACCTCTTCCACTCTTGTAGAATAACTGACTTAAAACCTTAGAAACTGAATTTTTATAAATTAAATGATTACAATTTTTAGTGAACTACAACTTAAGGAAAAAAAAAACAATATGGAGACTAGCGTAGGAGGGACAGAATAAATGAAGAGGGGAAAAAAGAGAACATGAACATTAGAAAATTTAATTTTAAAATTTATATTTTAGGTTAAAAGTTTAACTTTAAAATTTTAAACTAGGTGCATATCTATAATCTCAGAAAAGTGGAAGGCTGAGGCAGGAAGATCACATGTTTGAGGCTAGCCTGGGCAACTAAAGGAGAACTTGTCTTAAAATAAAAAAATAAAAGGACTGAGGATGTAGCCTCAGTGGAAGAGTGCTTGCCTAGCAGCCTAGCATTTGTGAGGTACTGGGTTCAAACCCTAGTGCTTAAAAAAAAAAAATGTGGGTATTAAGAACAAGGCCTTTTAGTCAATCAATGATTTAATAAATACTAATTGACAAATGCAGTTAAATACAGATTTCAGAAATGAATACTTATTCTTTCTGGTTGAAAATGGAGAGCTATCAACAATTTCTGTATAATTTCAGAGTCAGAGGAAAGTCATCAACATGGTAGATGTGTTTCATTGGAACTTGGCAATAAAATAACTGGACAGTTAGTAGGATGTCACACATCCTTCAGAGACATTAAAGCAACTTTTATAAAATCTGTTTCTAAATTAACATCATAGGCTGTTGCATTCAGATTTATTTAAAGGATAAATCTTAACCCTTTGCTAAAAATTCCCTGTCATGTATGAATTTTCAAATTCATGAAGGACATAACTTCAAATAGGACCATTGTTATGAGTATTTCATAACTTGGCCTCTTATGGCACTGACACTCAAATTGCAAATTTCAAAAGAAAATATACACTTAATGTAATCACAGATACTAAACTTAACTATGTAGACTGTAATATGAACCCAATGATTCATTATCAAATTATACTAAATATTCATTCCTAAATGTCAGTGTATAAATCAGGAAGCCTAATCTTTGTTATTTAAAGACAGCACCATGTAATAGAAAAATGTATAATAGCTGGGCATAGTGGAAAAGCCTGCAAACCCAGCAACTCAGGAGACTAAGGCAGGAGGAACACAAGTTCAAGGCTAACCCTGGCAACTTAGCATGACCCTATCTCAAAATTAAGGAATTTAAAAAGGGCTGAGGATGTAGCTCAGTGGTAAAGCACACCTGGGTTTGATCCCCAATTTATCTTTCTCTTACACACACACTTCCATGCACAAGAATAATACCTAATGATACTGGTAAGCCTCCATTATTTCCATGATACTTAATGTTCAACCTGAAAGATGATTTTAACTATAGCCATTTTAATCATAAACAGGTCCCACAGAGACCAAAATTTGGTTTTAATCTTTGTTTCTAAGGAATGTTAAGATGATGTAGATTTTTAAAAATTTTTGATATAACCTAATTATTGGATCTTTGAGGGGGCTGGGGTGCGGCCGAGGGGAAGTGTTGAGGGCCAGAGCCAAGTTGGGATGACGCATGGCATTTTTGCCAGAAGGAAGTGGTTGAGAGGTGACTCCAGCAAGCCATTGAGATGATAATGGTTAAGTTAAGCTGCGTATTCAGTTGTATATAGACCCCTGCTGTCCACCTGGGGCGCCAGCTAGGAGTTCTTGCAGGGATTCCTGGGGAGTTCGCATTGGTTGGTGAAGTTCCAGAGGAGGGATTTCCACTTGGGGGTGTTCCTAGAACAGCCGGCATTCCCGGGAGTTCGGGAAATAAAGGAGTTCCTGTTTGAACCTACAAGTGCCTCGTGGCAGCTCGGTTATTTTGTGCCCAGCCAGACAGCGGCAAAAAACCAATTCTCCTTTTCTAAAAAGCTTAGCTATTTTTCTGGGCCTCAATTATTCAAAAAACCAAGAATTGTTCAAATTATAATAAGCTGTTCAAACTTATCAAAACATTTTAGAGTAATTAGTTAAATTATTAAAAAGGTGTCACTTATTGGTTTGTTCAAAAACTGAAAGCCTTAAATGTTTATTCCTTTTTTATTCTTTGTTGTTTTGGTATTGGGGACTGAACCTAGGGGCTCTTTACCATTGAGCTACTTTTTAATTTTTTGAGACAGGGTCTATCTAAGTTGTTAAGGCTGGCTTGAACTTGCAATCCTCATCCATCAGCCTCCAGAGTCACTGGGATCACAGCTGTGTACCAACATGCCCAGCTTAGTTTGTTTTTTTTAAAAGATAGCTTAGCTCCAAGCATAATAGAAGTTCTTACTAATACCTCATGCCTCTCCTTCCTTGGGTGTGATATGAATAAATTTTATCCATTTGCTGGGAACAGACAATGTAAAGCAATGATCTAATTATAGGTGGGCTTGATGATGCTACAGCTATCTGAGTGAGTCAGTGCCATCATTAAAGGCCTCAATGAAGTTAGGTAAAAAAATGGATTCCCTTCCTATCAGTAGTCTGAAAGACATTTTCCATCATACCTAGCAAAGGATCTAAAATTGCACTTATGTAAAACTCCCCGTAAATCACATTTTTCTTTTTTGATATAGGGTCTCAATAAACTGCCTAGGTTGGCCTCAAACTTGCGATCCTTCTGCCTCAGCCTCCTTAGTTGCTGGGATTATAGGTAAGCGCCACAACAAATGGGTTTCTGTAAACCATGTTTTAAGCTTAAATATTTTTAATAATCTTAAATGGTTCTGTGGTTTTCTTTTCTTCTTAATACAAAATATAGTCTGCAAGCAACAAGTGAGAGTACCTTGGAAAAATCTAAAACGATTATGTACCATATAATAGTGATGCTCAAAATCTTGGTCGCATGTGCTTTCTCACAGAATTAAATACAGTAAATTAAGAGTTGACTTTTTTTTTTTTTGGTGGTCCTGTACAATCAGAAAAATAAGAAATTATACCCCATTTGATTCAAATGTGTGAACTGTCAAGATTATTGTACTGTCATGTGTAACTAATAATAAATACATAAATTATATTTTGGCTCTAAAATTTTGACAAATTTATAAAATCCAAATGCTTGTTACCGAACGTGATCATGACCAAAAAGTCAAAAACCAACTATTCTTTGTATGTAAAACACAGATACTGCCACCCAAGACTGTGAAAAATCTTAAAGAATTGTAGTGTAAATTTCCATATATGGACCATCTGAATTTTGCCACTAACATTTACTATGTCTTTTTATCACATTATCAATCCATCCATTTAATTCTTTGATGCTTTTTAAAGTTAATCACAGACATCATTATGTGTCACATCTACACACCTCAATATGCGTATCACTAGTCAACATTTAGGGTTTTTCTTCCTTCTGAGAAAAAATTTCCATACAACAAAGTGTATCAAATCTTAAATTATCACCTTATGAGTTCTGATAAATGCTTATCTATATAATACAAAATCCTGTCAAAATAGAAAACATTACCATTATTCCATAAAGTTTCTTCATGCCCCTTTCCCAGTTGATCCCTCTACTCAGAAGCAACAACTGTTCTGATATTTTAACTACAGCTTCTGGAACCCCACAGAAATGGAATTTCCTGTGTTCTAGAACCTTACATAGATGGAAACAGTATATATATTCCTAACCTTAGGCAGCATATATTAAAAATTCATCCATGTTCTTGAGTTTATTAGTAGATAGTTTTTATTGCTAAATGGTATTTGCTAGAGATAGTTTTAGTAAATGAAATACCTCAAAGATTCTGATTTTATTTCATACCTTCATATTGACATCAGCCCCATTGCCAACTAAAAGTTCTAAACACAGTGCTCCATGTGTTGATGCAGCAGCAAAGTGCAAAGGAGTAAATCCTTTTTCATTCTTTTGATTTACATTAGCACCACAGTCTATCAGTTCATTAACGACAACATCTTGTCCATTATAGCAGGCCACATGAAGAGGTGTATTTCCATAGGCATTTGGTTCATTCATCTATTGGTAGGAAAAAAATGTGCAAATGTTAAAGTAGTCTTGATGACTATCATTATTGTGAACTATTTTAGGAATTTTCGTGTGGTTGTCATCAAATTATTAAAGCAAAAAAAAAAAAAAAAGGAAAAATATAGATGAAATCTACAGTGCTAAAATTCCTTTAAAATAATGAATATAACAAGCATTTTGGTGTTAAATGGATTCTGTAAATTTAGAGATAGGCAATTCACATAGGCAATGTCTATACATATAAAATGTCTACATCAAGACAAAACTGAATGATTCCAAAAGGAATATTTTTAGGAGAATGAAAAGCATAATCTATTTTTAAAAGGCTTCAAAGTTAGGGACTTGATATGAAATTAACTCTAATAATTATGAAAAAATTAACAATCTGAAGACTGAGGTATATTCAGTTCGGTATCATGTTATTTTCAGCTTTTCATTTTGCAGTGACAAGACTAAGGTTACTAACAGAGATCAGGATTTTTAAAAATAAATGAAATTCTATTCATTTTTGTTATAGACTTGTAAATACATTCCAGTTTCACATGTTGACATTTTTATCAAAAGGCAGAAGAATGCTCAATAATGAGAAATAATCCATCCAACTCAGGTGGCTACCGCCACCAATTCATTTCAAATAAATAAAATAGGGCAATAATTTAACATTTATGTAACTTTTGTGTAGTAAAGTTTTACCTTGATTGAAAAAAGATCTAGTCTATCCTTGACTTTAGGGAGATAATCTGTGACATATCCCATACCTCAGGTTAGGTTGAAGAAACAGAATAGGTTTGACACTTGATACTAGGGTAGGGGCCGATCATACCAGATTTAAACCAACACTGTGATTCAGGGTGGGGGGTTTTGGGTCATTAGGTATCAGCAAAATTGGAGACTAAAATCAACCACTTGGGCAACAAATTAATCATGCCTATGATGGGGCCCCATTAAAAAACTAGAAATTAGTGTACGCACTGGCATGCATCTGTAGTCCTAGCAACTCAGGAGGCTAAGGCAGGAAGATTGCAAGTTTGAGGCCAGCCTTGGCAACTTAGTGAGATCCCGTCTCAAAATTAAAAATAAAGGGGCTGGGGTTGTAGTTCAGTGGTTGAGTGCATGTGTGAGGCACTGTGTTTGATTCTTAGCACCACATATAAATAAATAAGGGTCCATCAACAACCAAATAAAATATTTTTTTTAAATTAATAATAAAAAGGATGGGCTCAGTGATAAAGCATTCTTTGGTTCAATCCTTAGCATCCAAAATAACCCCAAAACAACAACAAAAACACCTGTGAAAATGAAGCTCAGATGAGCTTTCCTAGTTGACAAAACTTTGTGTATGTTGTTATAAACTGATGCTGGGAAAGTAATGCATCCTGACTCTATGAGGAGGACAACTTAAGAAAACTCCTTAGCTTTGTCCTATGTGTCTCCCTTCCTCTGGCTATTCTTAATTTGTACTTTCCTAGTATAATAAACCATGATTGTGAATGTAATAACTTTCACTGAGTTTTTTTGTGTCATCCTAGTCACTGAATGGTTTCATTTATTTATCTGTTTGTTTATTTTCTGGTACTGGGAATTGAACCCAGGTGCACTCTACCATTAAGCCTATCCCAGTCCTTTTTATTTTTTATTTTGAGACAATTTCATTAAGTTGCCCAGGCTGGACATGAACTCATGATTCTCCTGCCTCCGCCTCCCAAGTTGCAAGGATTACAGGCATGTACCACTATATTCACCTTAAACCTCAATGTTTCTAGAAGCCCCACCACCACTTGTGGTTGGTCAGAAGTGAAGGCAGACTTGTGTAGAGAGAGACATCCCTCTAACCATGTAGTTGGCCCCAGTTTGTCATAATTTTGATACTTTCTTTTATGAGATGACTGGTAATAGAAACTGGAGGAATAAAAAAGTAACAGAGTAGATTTTGCCACTCTCAAAACCTTCAAAAGGAACTAACTTTGCAGAAACCTTGAATTAGGATTTCTATATCCCAGAATTTTTAGAGATTAGTTTCATTCATGGTAAAGTTTTAATTCAGGGTAATTTGTTACAGTATTCCTAAGAAACTAAAAAAAACATGCAATAAGAGATCATATGTCACTAAAAGATCCCAAGTTGGACCATTTATTCTAAAGAACATTCTGCCACCAGAATTTACAAATGTTCGTTTTACTGTCAATAAAATAAGCTTCTAAATTGTGCTAGGATGAATTTAAAAGTGATTAGAAATGATGTTGCCTTTATTTGTGTTAAGGGTCTTTTAAGACACTAAGTTACTCTGTTGAAACAGGGCTATTAAGAACTATTGAGCTGAAATGGAACTTCTCTACTTTGCCCTCTCCAAGAGCCCACAAATATGTTTGGTTTTTTAAACCTCTTCTGAATCCCACATTTTCCATACTTACTTGTTTTCAGCAAAGTGTTTCCCTATATCCTAAATTAGCAGTCCTTTCAGCTCTATTGCACTGAATGAACTCAGTAGTGTCAAACCAGGATATCACTTACTTTTTTTTTTTTTGCAGCTGAAAACTGCCTCCTTTTAGTAGATCCTTGCCTTCTCTTTCCTCCTAATTTGCTGCTTTGAAAAACAACCACGTTTGTCTTAACCATATAAAAAATAAGAGTAAACATATTTGGACTAAAGAATATGTGTTTAAAGGATCACTTGTGAAAACTACAGGTACTATTAGTTGTCTCAGTTTAGAAATTAAATATACCCTGATACAGCAGTACCCCTTCCTCAAAAAAGAGAATTATATATTAATCAACACTTAAACTTGGTGAGCAAGAAGTCTCTTGTCTTCCTGCCTACCTGATATCCTATAATGGGTTCTGTGACAGCCATTTAAAAGGGAATATCTGACTAATTAAGTGAATAAGACTAATAATAACCTAGTCACATAATCCAAGTGTGCCTGACCTGCTGGTTTATGCAAAACTGGAGGAAATGGAGCTACAGAGTTTGAAACGTGATGGAAAGAAAACCTTCTGGAAAATCACCTTTGGGATTTACTTTACCTCCACATACTTTGACATATTACCTTGATTATAAATTAATACACTGTTTAAAGAACTACAATCATTTGGTTAAATGACAAATATTGTAAGAAATCTTTTTTTGGGGGGGGTACTGGAGAATGAACCCAGAGCTGTTTTATCACTGAACCACATCTCCAGCTCTTTTTAATTTGGAGTCAGGGTATCACTAAGTTGCTTAGGGCCTTGCTTAGTTGTTGAGGCTGGCCTTGAAGTTGCAATCCTTCTGTCTCAGCTTCCAGAGTTACTGGGATTACAGCTATGATTCATCAAGCCTGGCTTCTGAAATATTTTTAAATCTGAAAGTGTTTGCCAGTGTAATAAAATTCATAAAATACTCCATTATTTTATATTGCTCTATATACCTACATCTACTCCAAGATCTAGAAGGTACTTGACTACACTGATCATTCCACTGGAAGATGCTGCATGAAGAGGCGTATAAGACTTCTTATCTTTGCATGTCACTTCAGCTCCATGTGCCACAAGTAATTTCACTACTTCAATATGACCTGGAAATGTGTTGAAGAAAAAATAGAGATGAGCATATATAAAATATTAAATATAATCCTGAATATATTTAAAGAAAGACAAATATGCATATTCATCACATAATGCATGATAACCAACAATCAATCTCGTTACAATTTGAAAAAGCACAGAATAAAAGATTTCATAATTATTTCTATAAATAGTGGTAGAGGGAAGATTAAATATGATGCACTTTATTTAATTTGTCCAGTGTCAACACTACAACTGATAAATCTTTTGCCTAGATCTTCTGGTCCCCTCCTACCTCACAGATTGACTTAATGCATTCTTAAGTTAGTTTTAATTTTTAACCTTGTTTATATTTCTCAGCCTTACTGGAATCTTGTTCTTATAAATCTGGGAGTGACTTCGGTTTGTTTCTTTCTAATTTTTCTTTTTCATGTTTGAGATGGGGCATTGCTATGTTACCAAAGCTCAAATGCATGGGCACAAGTGATCCTCCTGACTCTTCAAGGGGATGCCATAGCACCTGGAAGGCTTGTTTCAAGAAATTAGGTTTTCTTTTTGATACTGGTGATTGAACCCAAGGGCGCTTTATCACCGAGCTACATCCCCACTCCTTTTTATTTTGAGATAGGGTCTTCCTAAGCTGCCTAGGCTGGCCTCCTGCCTCAGCCTCTGGAGTTGATGGGATTACAGGTGTGCGCCACTGCATCCAGATAAAGCCCTATTTTAAAAGGGGGTTATATATAGGGAAGTGAACCACTAAAAACATTAAGAAAGGGTTTTCCATAGCCAGTTTGGAGGTGATTCATTTCAAAGAAAAAAGGGGAGAAAAGTTCTAGAGTGAAACAAATTATATTACTTTGCCTGGGTGGCTGTAGCCAAAAAAAAAAAAAAAAAAAAGTCAATTTATAGAAAGATAAGCTGAGGACCAGAATTTAATTCCCATAGGGTTCTCTACCCTTTCAGTCCCAGTATAAGGGATTGAACCCAGGGGCACTCTACTCCAGATATACAGCCATGCCCTTTTTTATTTTGAGTCAGGGCCTTGCTAAATTGCAGAGGCTGACCTTGAACTTGTGATCCTCATATCTCAGCTTCCAAAGTTGCTGGGATTACAGGTATGTTCTACCATATGTGGCTTCTAGAGCTCTTTTTTGAGTGGCATCCATGAGACATTATGGTATATAGATTTCAGAAGAAAATAATAAACACCATCTTTAATTTAATTCCCTTAGGAATTAAGAACATTTTCCACATTTTAATTTTGTTCAGGAGTGGACAAGAAAACTAAAACAGGTTGTGTTAGAATTTATTTTCAGGGAAAGGAGGAGGAAAAAAACAGTTCATATTCATTTAAATTATGCACTGCTTCAAGAAGGAAAAAAAAAGTTAACAAGTTGCTAATCAAGTAATATTAGCTGGGCAAGATGGAGCATGCCTATAATCCCAGCAGCTCAGGAGCGAGGCTGAGGCAAGAGGATTGTAAGTTCGAAGCCAGCCTCAGCAAAAATGAGGTGCTAAGCAACTCAGTGAGACCCTGTCTCAAAAAATAAAAAGGGCTGGGATGTGGCTCAGTGGTTGAGTGCTCCTGAGTTCAATCCCTGGTACTCACACCCCCCAAAAAAGAAAAGAAATATTTATTCAATATCAAAGTCCATAGTAAGAAGATTTGAGGCAGAACATGCCTGGATAAGGCTAAAAGTACTGAAAACACTGAAAAGATTGAGGAAGGATGATGACAGAAGCAAGCATAAATTGAGGAGAGAAATGGCAATTTATTTGGGGTCAGGGTTGGGGCTAGAGAATACTGATAGAGACTTCAATAACAGTATAAGGAGGTGGGACCTAATGGAAAATTTAGGGAACCTCAACCAGTGGATGAAAGGAAGCCTGTGAGAAATAAATCACAAGATTACATGTAATCCCTAGTATCTACTGTAATGTTTTTGAAGGGTGGAACTGGGGATTGATCCCTGGGATTCTTTACCACTGAGTTACAACCCCAGCTATTTTTTGAGACAAGATCTTTTGCTAAGGTGCTTAGGATCTTGATAATTTGCTGAGGCTGGCCTCATGTTTTCAATCCTCTTGCCTCAGTTTACGGAACTGCCGAGATTACAGGCATATACCACCACACCAGGCTTCTTACACTAATGTCAATGGATTCTCTGGACATAATCTAGAGGTGACAATGTTTATACTTTAGGCTTGTCTTTAAGATGGGTGACCCATCAGCAGTTTCCTGTTTTCACTATTTAGTTCTTTAATCCCATATGCCTACAGTAGTTTTAGAAGCTATGTGTCATCTTGTGCAATGCTTGCAAATGAAAGGAGAGTTATAAATCTGAATGCTTATGCTCAAAAATTAAATGGCCAGGGCTATAGTTTCAATGTGTCCCAGCACTTAAACTTAATATCTAATGCAACAGTGTTAAGATATAATTTTGTGTGGGAATGGGTTTGTTATAAACATTGAATTTAACTCTCCCTTCTAACCAGCGTGATGTCTTGTACCATGCTATGATGAGGCACGGCCTACACCAGATGCCTATGCCTTGATCTTGGGCTTCCAGCCTCCAGAACAGTAAGGAAATAAATTTCTGTTCATTACAAATTACCCAGTCTCAGGTATTGTTATGGTAGCACAAAATGGACCAAGACATGTAGTGATTTCCAAGAAACATTGAATTACCTTTTTCAACCATAATAGAAAGGTCTAAAATATGATACTATATCAGTGACCACAAAGCTATGCTAGATAACCTGAGAAACACATAATCAACTATTTATGGAGTTCAATTATAGGAAAACTACAAAATTACTCTGGCCTTCCATTTCATACAAATAGCTGTTAAGACTAATCGTTCAGGAGTAAAAGGCCTGATGCATTCTATTTAATGTGTAAATTTTTTAATATACAGTATTAGTTTTAAATCACAGCATTGTTTCTAAACCATCTTGAAAAATAAACTACAACAGAATATTCAAGAAAGTTTCCAAGACTTAAAGTAGAAAACTATCAGGTGTGAGGAAGAAATTTTAGTATACCACAGAAGGCTTGCTTCTGCATTTTGTACCTCAAAAAAAAAATATCCATTACATATCTAAAGGCACATACTTTTGGTATGAAACACTAAGTTTTCAGCCTCTGGCTATCAAAATATTTTATCTATCTATCTATCTAATTTTGAGACAGGGTATCACTAAGTTTCTTAGTGCCTTGCTAAACTTCAACTTGTAAGTCTCCTGTCTCAGGCTCCAGAGTCACCAGGATTATGGGAGTTTGCTACCATACCTATTCTGGCTATCAAAATAGTGACATGTAACAAAAATGTTAATCTTCATTTTTAATCATTCTTTGCACCTATACTAAAATTTCAGAATTGCAATTCAGCATGGATTCTTCTGCTTTTGGGTATTTTACAGACAATGGACTTTGCTAGACCTTAGAAGTATCTGTACTAAAATTTGATAAAGATGATACATAAGATTTGATACAGAAAGATACACATACATGGAGTGTTACAACTGATTTGCATCCATTTTACAATGTTATATAGGTTTTTAAGGTTAATCATCTTCTACTTAATCTTTAATTTTTAAATGAGAGATAGGAAAAGACAAAACCAAGAATAGAAAAACAATGAGGAAAAGCTACAACTATCACATGATTCTTCCAAATTAGAAGAGACACAATAGCAAAAGCAGAATTATTAGAATGTGTAAGGCCCTGAGTTCAACTCACAGCACTGGCGGGGAACCTAAAAATGAATTACAACCTTTGGCAGAAAGAGAGGAAGTCCTGAGCTCCATGGATGCAAAGGGAGGGACTTCAAAAATAAAATGTCTGTTGAGCACAGTGGTACACACTTCTAATCCCAGCTACTAGGGAGGCTGAGGCAGGAGAATCACAAGTTTGAGGCCAGCCTGGACAACTTATAGAGTCCCTGTCTCAAATAAAAAATCAAGGGCTGGGAATGTAGCTCACTACGCACTTGCCTAATATGTGTGAGGCCCTATGTACAATCCCCAGTACTGCAAAAACAAAACAAAAACCACATATTTACACCCATGACTTTCTCCAAGAGGTAAAACCTAGCCTTATAAGACTTCTAAGGTTCATGGCAGGTTATATTTCCTCCATGCTTAGAGATCTGTTTCTATCTGCATGGTCTCAGCACTCACAACAGAGTAGGAATGCTATTTTTATGCATTTAAAAATATTCTACGATAGGCTGAATTGCCTCTTTAGTTTTCCAAATTATCTCAAGAATCAAACAATGTTTTGTTAGTGCTTGTATCACTAATTTGCATAAAGTACTGGGTGGTCTATCCCAGGATAATTTTCCTCATGAGGTCTAGTTTTATTTATTTTTATTTGTTCTAATGAGTTATAAATGACAGTGTAATGCATTTTGATACGTCATACATAAATGGAGTACAGCTTCTCATTCTTCTGGTTGTACACAATATAGAATTATACAGGCCATGTAATCATATATGTACATAGAATAATAATGTTTGAGTCATTTTACTATCATTTCTATCATGAGGTCTAGTTTTAGAGGGCAATCAAATAAAAAATGAAGATGCACAAGAAACTTAGTGCTTGGCCCAACATAAGATTTCTTAATACATCTTCATAACTTATATATTAGAATGAAAACATAACCACAACTGGCTCATAGTAAACCCCAATCTTAAATTAAAATCAGAGGCCCATAATTGAGATCTTCCTCCCTTTATAAATAATTTCAAATAGCATTTGTAGCAAAATTTCGCTGTTACCAAGATGGTTCCACCTGAGCAGGAAAATCAGATATGGTGTATCTTTTAATTGTGTTAGAAATGTTAACACAAATAGCAAAAAATAAAATGTACTACTTTCCTAAATATATAATGTGAAAAAGTAAATTCAAAAAGTACATACCCATATATGCTGCCCAATGGATAGCACGCCTATCCTTCTTATCAAAAGCATTAATATTGGCACCTCTGGACAAGAGTAGCTTAACCATCTACAATAAAATAAACACAGTTTCAATGAAATTCAGAAGTAGAATTGTTCAGCCTTGTGATGAGTACTTATCTTAATTTCTCTGGCACTATATTTCTGATAGAAAAGGAGCCAGATTGAATATTTAAGGCCTTTTAACATAACAGGATAAAATAGGAAAAATGTGTTCACTGTGGATGTTACTGAAGTCAGGTAATATCTTTCTAGAAACCATTTATTTCTGTCCTGGTATTTTATGAACAACTAGGTATAAATAAGAAGGTCTAAAGTTAGAATATTTAACAAGAGATTTTATTCCTATTCATAGCCCAACTGTTATTAAAATGCAAAGTGAATACTCTTCCCAGAAATGTCTTAAATTTAACTTAGGTACAAACTTAACATTTACAAAATGATTAAACTTGAAGGTTACTACATAGTCTACTTATCTCACAAAGTACCAAGAATAATAATTATACCTAATCATATTTACAATATTTTCTTTGTTGAAGGAATTCCAGATTTAAATTAGGACACATTTTGTGACCTTAATTATAATGGAGGCAAGGATTTATGCTGCAAAATCAGAGAAGTATAGTGGAAAGAACACTGCAGCCGATAGCTCCCCAGCTATGGAATCTTGGGAATAATTCTCTACCACTTGGAATTTTTGTGTCTACAAAAATGAAGGACTAGGAGCTGAATATTGTAACATATGCCAGTAGTCCCAGCTATTCAGGAGAGGCAGAAGGATCACTTTAAGCCCAGGAGATGGTAACCAGCCTGGGCAACATAGCAAGATCCTGTCTCATTTTTTTTTTAAAAAAAGGCTGTAAAAGTTCATCTCAAAGGTTCCTGTAACAGTTTGGTTCTTCCCTGACCCTCATGTACTTATAAACCTCACTCTTTGATAGGACAACTATTGTAAGTGATGTTTGCTGGAAGACAACTAAATACTAATTTGCTTAAATTGATTTCTTTTGATGGTCTGTCACTGAAGAACTCTCTTGACTAAATGCTGAAACTAATTTATAAGAAAGCATGTTTCAAAATTCTTTGCCACTGGGCTGGGGATGTGGTTCAAGCGGTAGCGTGCTCGCCTGGCATGTGCGCGGGGCACTGGGTTTGATCCTCAGCACCACATAAAAATAAAGATGTTGTGTCCACCGAAAACTAAAAAATAAATATTAAAATTTCTCTCTCTCTCTTAAGAAAAAAATTCTTTGCCACTATCATTCTGAGTGAACAAAGAAATTGCTGTCTTCCCAGATTCATTTTTTCCCACAATAGAACACACTTTTCATATTATGTTAGCTAGCAGGCTGTTACTCCAGGTTGACTATAAAAGTGCATAAGCAGCACAAACTAAACAAACTTCCAAATTTGAGAAAGTTTTATCATGGAAAATAAAGTTTGAAGATTTGCTATGGGCAAAATTTGACAAATATGAGTAAGATATTTTTATTTCCTTTTACTATGGACTTATAAATGGCTAACAAAGGGAAATTCAGCCAGGCACAGTAGTGCCTACCTGTAATCCCAGCTGAGGAGACTGGGAGGAGGCTGAGGCAGGAGAATTCCAAGTTTTGAGGTTAGGGCAACTTGCTGAAATCCTGTCTCAAAATAAAAGTTAAAAAAAGGCAGGGGATGGGGCTTAGGAGTATAATACTCCTGGATTCGATTCCCAGTACTGTGGAAGGGAAAAAATGTCACCTACCTCACCATGTCCACTGAAAGCTGCATGATGTAATGCAGTTCTTCCGGCTCGATCAGACACATTTACATTACTCAGAAGAGGTACCAAAGCTTCAGCACACTTTACAGCTTTATTAGCAGCAGCGATGTGTAAAGGGGTTTGCCAATTTTTGTCTCGAGCATTAACATCTGCAGAATGCTTCAAAAGTACCTGAACTGCTTCCTAAAACATATGAAGATAAGTTATAAAAGACAAAATAGTTAACAGTTTTAGAAATTGTTTACATATATGTATATGCATGAAGGAAATAAAATTTCCTGAGGAAATGAGAAAATTCTGCTATTATTTAATGTTAAGATGAAATTTATTAAAGGAAAAAAATTCAGAATTTACAGCTGAGACATTCTCTTTACATATGTTTCCATTAAAGGACTAACAATCTCTAACAAAATGTATGAAACAAGCCAGGTTGTGGTGGCACACCTTGTAATCACAGCTACTTAGAAGGCTAAGGCAAGAGGATCTCAAGTTTGAGGCCAGCCTGGGCAAATCAGCAAGATCCTACCTCAAAATAAAATAAAAAAGGACCTGGGATGTAGCTCAGTGGTAGAATGCTGCCTACCATATGCAAGCCCCGGGTTCAATCCTCAGTACCACACTCAAACACACACACAAAATTACAAAATTAAAGATTGACAAGCGTTCTTCAAAACATTCATTTTTTTAATATCATGTTTCTGTTAGTAAGACACAACTTACATACTGAACAGTATTAGGAGATTTATTATTTTTCCAGTGAAAACATAAAAATTTGAAGTATAATATTTCTCAAAGTATTACACATGCTACATTTTTAAAAATGAAAAAAATCACAACGTCTAGTTCATTAAATTATTTTTTTTCCAAGAAGTACATGGAAAACCCCACACCACCACATTAATAAATTGAGCCTCATGGCAGAATTCCAAGGATTTTAGTATGTAATCAATATTAAGCAATATAATCAGAAATAAACTTTGCAAAAAAATTTTTCCTTACAGTGATAATCCTATCTTTGGTAGATAAATACCAAACTATGTATGAAAAAAAATACCAGAACCAAAATAGGATCTTAGTTCTGTTACTTACAAGGTATACTAGTCAATCTTATAAAACTGACTCCTGGTGATTTTATCTATAAAAGTAGGGAGTGATGTGGTGGTATCATAAATCTCAATTTTGCTTTAAGGCATAATAAATTAATGTACATCAAGTTTAAAGTATAAATTGCTATAAGTATACAAAGTATCAAGGAAGACAAAACAAAATACTATTGTCTATCAATCACTAACAGCTTTTTAAGCCCTTAAATTAAAAAGTAATCAAAATCACGAAACAGCACAAGTACCTAATAGGGTTGGCAAAAAACTGAAGAGATGCGTAGTAATTCATGGGCATCCTACCTGCTAAGGAAGCCAATTAGCTAATCAAAAATGGGGGAGGTATGACTCCACAATTCCACTCCACTTATTTGCTCAATTATAAAAGCAAACAACAACAACAAAACCCCCAAAAAACAACAACAAAAAAAACCCACCCCAGATCCATCTAAGAATGCTCATAGCAAGCCATGTATGGTGGTATATGCTATAATCCCAGCAACTTGGGAGGCTGAGGCAGGAGGATTAGATAGTGAGACTCTATCAAAAAACAAAACAAAAACCAAACAAAAAAACCTCATAACATTTCTTAAGTCAAAAACCAGAAATGCAAATGTCTATCAATAGAAAAATGAAAAACAAACTGAAATACATTTGTGCAATACAACTCAGAAGATAAAAAGGAATGAAGCAATAATAAATGTAACATTATAGAATCTAAAAATGTTATGTTAAAGAAATTAATACACATTGAATGATTTCATTTTTATGAAGTTCTATAATACAGAAAATTACTCCATGATGAGAAAAATCAAAACACTGGTTGCCTCTGAGGTTGCCCATCCCCACTTCTAAGAAGGATACAGTATGACTTGGGGATAAAATAAACACTTTATTGGGGAAAAAAGGTGATAGGTATGTTAGTGGATGTCTTAGAAAATAATTAAAAATAAAATGAAGAATTTATTACTGCATATATTGCAGGGCCAACACGCCTAGTAAAGATGCTGGAAATAATACCATTAAAACTTCTGCAGAAATATTTATGCTCTATTAGGAAGAACAGTAAAATCAAAACTATTGTTTCACTGGAAAGCAAGAATAAATCCAGTTCATGGGGAGCTTAGTGGCAGAGTGCTTGTCTAGCATGTGTGAGGCACTGGGTTTGAGCCTCATCACTGCATATAAACAAAGAAACAAACAAAATAAAAAAATTCTACAATGTAGTTGTCTATCTAAACTACCAATTTTTTTAAAAAAAATCCAGTTTGTGAAAAGTAAGGATATGTAAAGTGGCACCTAATAAAGGCTGTAAATAAAGCAATTAAGACTCATAATCAAAATAGATTAGTGTTTAATTTACTTACTACTCAGAGTAATACTTATTTAAGTAGCAACCTCAGAGAAAACTAAAGAAAATTTCTAAAGGCTGGGACCTTTAAAAAGGTGAAATTTCAGAAATACAAATCAAAGAGCACAATGTCATATCCTACTAAAATTCTAGATCATATTATTGGTACATAAGACAATAATGTGGGGATAACAAAGGGCATAAATGTTTCACCAACAATAAATATTACTATAACCTCAATTCTAATTTTTCAGTTATTACAGGGTATGTGTAAGAAATGCCTGCTGGTGTGCCTTGATTGGGAAAAAACCAACAAATAAACGAAATTTAAGTAACATTGTAAAATATAGAGTTATGGTAAAAGGTTATATAATTGTCCTCATTGTATTAATATCTTTGGAACAATCTAGACTAAGATTCCACAGTAGTAACTAGTGCTCTTTGGTTCTGTCTGCCTTTTTTTTTTTTTTTTTAAAGCAATTCTTACCATTGAGTTGAAGGTGGCACTGGAAAAAGAAGGGTTAGCAGATTTACAATAAATACAAAGTCTAGAGGAACCAATAACATACAATATAATTATATAATTTAAACTCAGCTATCTTGACAGAACTCTTGATTGGTCTTAAGTTAAAAATAAGTTATAAGCCCTATAGAGGGTTCAGGAGTGTGATGTAGCTTCTTAAAAAACACACACACACAAGAAAAAAATTAAAAAGAAACCTTAATACTAATAAAATTTATTTTCAGAAGGATATGCAGTACTTATAGAGAAGTGAACTATATGCTGCTCTTAAAGCATGGCTGTCACAAATCAGAGTGACAAAGATTTAGGTAGCCAGTAAGGAGATGGTGTTTGGAAACCAGGTCACCAAAGAAGAGTAAAGAGTATTTTCCCTGAAGCAGTCATTCTCAACTCAGGTTCACTGAAGAAACTGAGCCATAAAGGATTAATTTTTGTAATAAATTAACTTCTCTCCTGTTCATCTTAACATGTTGTTAGCTATGCATGTCCTTGTGGAAATTAAGAAAATGATAATCCAACTGGGCATGGTAGTACATGCCTGTAATCCCAGCAACTTGGGAGGTTGATGCTGGAGTTTGAGACCAGTCTCAGCAACTTAGTGAGCACTTGTCTCAAAATAAAAAGGGCTAGGGACATAGATCAATGGTATAGCATCCCTGTGTTCAATTCCTACTACCAATCTGAGAAAGAAAGACAGAGAGAGAGAGAGAGAGAGAAGAAAACAATCACTTCAATTATTTTGTATAGGGTTTTTCTTGTGGTATGTCAAAAACCTAAACTAAAAGCTACTTAAAATTTTGCCTCTGAAAGACCCACCTCTTTACATATCCCTCTACGCCCACAGCTATATAACCAGTAAGTATAACTCACTTTGCTCTTAGGATGTAATCAAAACAATTAAAGGAACACAGTGAAACTGATAATTTTGAGTAGGTTCTGTATTAGTCCTTTTAAAAAAAATTTTTCTGTAGTTATAGATGAACAGAATGCCTCATTTTATTGGTTTATTTTTATGTGGTGCTAAGGCTTGAACCAGTGCCTTACACATGCTAGCCAAGTGCTCTGCTACTGAGCTAGAGCCCCACCCTATAGCAGTTCTTTTAATTCTGAGATTTTCTTTTTAAAACAAAAATGTTCCACGTTTACAGAAGGTATTTTCTTGCATCAACCACATTTTTATAGCTGTTTCCCATTATCCTGCAAGAGTATTAATCCTACACAGTTCATTCATTTTTAGGCAGAAAAGCAGACTTAAGATCAGGTGAGTATATAGGTTTTTAAAAAATATTTTTTAGTTATAGACGGAAGAAATATCTTTATTTTGTTTATTCATTTTTATGTGGTGCTGAGGATCGAACCCAGTGCCTCACATGTGTGAGGCAAGCACTCTGCCACTGAGCACAACCTCAGCCCGTACGAGTATATAGTTTTAAGAAACCAGGAGTAAAGTCTTTGGGTGGAATCTGCCACAATGCTCAAATGCTAATTTTTTTTTTTTTTTTTTTAAGAACTTTTGGTCTGTTTTATAACCACTGCAAAAATAGAAAGTGTACCTTCTGATTATTTTATTCTGGTAAATTCCATTACTTTTAATAGTTATGTTCACAAAAGCCATATTGAAAAATGGGTAGATATGGTTAACATTAATAGGTTTTACTAAGAGTAATGTTTATTTTGATTGCTAAAGAAGCATCCTTATGTGGGACTAACCCAGAAAGACACTAAGTAAACTTTTCACAAAATCTCAAATTCAAAGTTATTTTGGCTAATGTCTTAGTTTTCATAATAACCCCCAGATCTGTTCATGATTTAGATACGAAATATCCTCCAAAAGCTCATGAGACAATGCAAGAATTTTCAGAGGCAAAATAATTAGCCCATGAGAGGTATAACCTAATCAGTGGATTAATCCACTAATGTGGATTAACTGGGCAGTAACTATAGGCAGGTAGGGTATGGCTGGATGAAGTAGGTCACTTGGGTGTGTCTTTGGGTTTTATATTTTATTCTTGGTGAGCAGAGCTCTTTCTGTTTCCTGGTTCCCATGTCCTGAGCTGTTTTCCTCTGCCACGCCCTTCTGCCATGATGTTATACCTCATCTCAGGCCCAGAGCTATAGAGATGACCAATCATGGACTAAACCTCTGAAATAGAGAGCCAAAATAAACCTTTCCTCCTCTAAATTGTTCTTGTCAGGTCTTTTAGTCACAGTGAAGAATAGCTAACTAGAACAACATCACACAAAAACTTGAGGTGATATCTGAAGCTACTTCTTCAAATCTAAGTTCCATAAGTTTATCAGCTACAGCACATCAAAGTCTCAGATTGGACCCTTCCTCCTTCTCCTTATCAGGAGGCTTCAGCTAATACACTACACTATATGCCTCTGTCATATGACAGGATTTGTAATCTGTCCCAGTCATTATTTCCCTCTACTTCTCTTTTTGTGCCAGGCTCTTGTACTGGGTTCAATATATGGTTACAAGGAGGAATACAAAGTAGAATAAAGAAGCAGGAATTCTCCCAGTTTTTTCCGAGGCACTAGACAGAGCTGCCTTTCCTTCTCTAGAACTACTTGGTCCCATGACAGGAGCAGGAGCAGTTGCTTCATTTAGGAGTTCCTTTCTTATCTTTCTCAATTTGAATAACTGAAGAAACACTGAGTTAATATCAATTAACACAATCACATACTTTCACATTTTAAAAACTCAAACAAGCCCTGATATCAAACTAGGTAAAAGAGGTGCTTTGGACACAATGTATTTTAGAAAGGCACAGTATACTTTATAAAGTAGTAAAATGACAGACAAAAGGTCCAGGCTTTCGTCTCATCACTACCAGCTGAGTAGTTTCTAGTTGCCTTTAAATGTCTATCCCCATAAAGTTGTTAAGAAAGACAGAAAATACGAAAGTTACAAAAATACTTTGCAAACAATAAACATTCTCTAAAAATGTCACTTATTTTGAAGAATATATAATATATAAAGTTACAAGATGGAACTGTTCCTTCTTTTAAGAAACCTTATACATTTTAGGGTTATGTATTTCAAACTGGTAAAATGGGCAATCAAGTAGTATTAAAACTAATTTCAGTGTTTTAACTAAACAACAGTTCAAATAATCATTACACATTGATGAGATTATGTCTTCATTACAATCAACAGAATCTTTGCAACAGGTTATTGTGAACCAGAAGAAAAAAGATTTGAAGAAGACTAATAGTTAAAATATGGAACAATTCATTTGGTTTGTATAAATTCTCAAGTAAAATGACTAGTCTAGATACTTAAAAACATTATTTGAATATGGACTCAGGCAGGCCTACTTGATTGTTTTTACATACAGTACATTTACTAAGAGAAATTTCATACCTCACTACAAGATGCAACTGCTCTGTGTAATGGTGTCAACCATTTGCTGTCTTTGGCATTAACTCTAGCTCCTGCAACAAGAAAAAAATAAATTGAAATATTTTACATAAAATACTTAAAATAAATCTCTTGAAATAAGAGTTATATATGATCCAAACTGGAATAAAAAACAATTGAAAAACTACTTTTTTATACTTTCTAATTTAAATTACCCTTAAGTCATAAAACAAAATCATCTCTTAAATACTGATATAATTATCCAACAAGGTAATAGCTTTTATTAAAAATAAAAAAATCATTTATTTATATGCTAGATAAGCCACCTTTATACAGAGCATATCCAAGAAAGATCAGATCCCACTTAGAAATATGAGTTAAAAACTGAAATACTCAAATAAATGAACATAATACTACTTGGAGATAAATAGCAGATTATTCCAACGTGTTCATTACATTTCTTGCTAATGAAAGTATGTCATAAAGTAATAAAATAATATCAAAATACTTCTACAGCTATAACTAAAAATGTCTGGACTAGAAAGGAACTAATCCACATGTCTTTTTGGGTTATACCTTAACTAAGGTTTCAAGGAGGAATTAAAAAAAAAAATCAAGTATGTGCAACTGTTTAGAAATTATTAAGTCAATGGACAAAAATTACCCTTACCAGGATACAAACACATTTATTAAGACAAAAAGTGTACTACATAATTGTTACCAAAAGTTGGTCCTTGTCCCTGATATCAACTGAACAACGAGGACACGGTTTTGAGAAAAAGAAAAAAGAAATTTTTACTGTTTTGCTAGCAAAGAAGTAGTATTGGAGATTCCTGTCTCAGAGGCTGCAATTCTCCCTATCTGGGAGAAGAGAAGTTTTTAGAGAAGGGATTCATTCCAGATGTCCTGGCTGGGGAAGATGGGATTCTACATGTGCTCTGATGGGGGTTGAAATTCACATACTAACTTGGGAGAGGTCACTTCCTGTATCTTCTGGTGCCATCTCCTTCCTGTTATGGGTGTGTACAGATAACTTTAGGCCTAGGATGGGACAAAGGTGATCCTGTGGCCTTTCACCTTCAGGTTAGGGAGAGGAAGAGGAAGAGGAGGAAAAGAAAACATGTACATTTTAAAACAAGCCTCAGTTGCAGAGTAGCAAGGCTATTTTAAAAGCATGAAGTGGATCACTGTTACATCATGAGGGAAAAAAATCTACCTTTTACATGAAATGCATTCATTTGTACTCAAGCCCCAGTCAAAAAGAAATATTACACAGGATCACTCTATAAGTAGATAAGAAACAGTTCTGGCTCTTGGAATTGGCAGACAGGTCCTATCCTGTAAATAATCCTATTTACATCCCAAACCCTAACTAAATCCTTACTTCCTGGATGATGAAAGGTACAATGAACAGTCCAACATCAGTCGTTATAGCAGAACCAAGTCTAGAATTCATACCTCTAATGTTTACATTACATCTATGTTTTGAGTATGAGGATCTGGGGGATAATCAAGTGCAGTGACTTCCATATTATAGCTCCAACAATTATTAACTATGGATGCCTAACTATAACAGGAATTTAAAAGCTGCTTTTGCTAAAAGTACCAAGTCTTTATTTGGGTCTGCAGAGGCTCAATGGCTTGATATCTCTGACTTCATTTTCTGTCTTTGGATTCCTGCTCAGCTCTGTACATAGGCATGCTAATCATTTAAGCAGTATTCATCCAAAAACTGCTAATACAAGGTTTATTAGCCCCAATTTTATCAAACTTGACCTATCTTTCTAAAAGAGTAACTAAGAGTAACTAAGGTATTTTCAGGATTTGCAGGGACATTCACCTACCAACTTTTACAACATCCTGTTCCAGACACCAGAGTGGGACTTAAAAGTCTGTAGTCACTGCCCTACACCTTCTAAGGAAAGAGCAGAGTATTGCAGGCAGATCACCGATTGATGAGAATGCTGCCCCCCCCACCACTAAGAAGCAATCATCTTAACAGAACTGAATTGCCCCCTTCCAAGATCACAGGTCTGATTAACACCCTGAATAGCAAACAGAGACTGCCCCCTCAAACTACAATTAGAGCCCTAATATCCAGAGTATACAAAGAACTCAAAAAATTAGACAATAAGAGAACAAACAACCCAATCAACAAATGGGCCAAGGACCTGAACAGACACTTCTCAGAGGAGGACATACAATCAATCAACAAGTACATGAAAAAATGCTCACCATCTCTAGCAGTCAGAGAAATGCAAATCAAAACCACCCTAAGATACCATCTCACTCCAGTAAGAGTGGCAGCCATTATGAAGTCAAACAACAACAAGTGCTGGCGAGGATGTGGGGAAAAGGGTACACTTGTACATTGCTGGTGGGACTGCAAATTGGTGCAGCCAATTTGGAAAGCAGTATGGAGATTTCTTGGAAAGCTGGGAATGGAGCCACCATTTGACCCAGCTATTCCCCTTCTCGGTCTATTCCCTAAAGACCTAAAAAGAGCATGCTACAGGGACACTGCTACATCGATGTTCATAGCAGCTCAATTCACAATAGCAAGACTGTGGAACCAACCCAGATGCCCTTCAATAGACGAATGGATTAAAAAAATGTGGCATTTATACACAATGGAGTATTACTCTGCATTAAAAAATGACAAAATCATAGAATTTGCAGGGAAATGGATGGCACTAGAGCAGATTATGCTAAGTGAAGCTAGCCAATCCCTAAAAAACAAATGCCAAATGTCTTCTTTGATATAAGGAGAGTAACTAAGAACAGAGTAGGGACGAAGAGCATGAGAGGAAGATTAACATTAAACAGAGATGAGAGGTGGGAGGGAAAGGGAGAGAAAAGGGAAATTGCATGGAAATGGAAGGAGACCCTCAGGGTTATACAAAAGAACATACAAGAGGAAATGAGGGGAAAGGGAAAAATAATACAAGGGGCAGAAATGAAGGTCAGTAGAGGGGGTAGAGAGAGAAGAGGGGAGGGGACGGGAGGGGAGGGGGGATAGTAGAGGATAGGAAAGGTAGCAGAACACGACAGTCACTAGTATGGCAATATGTAAATCAATGGATGTGTAATTGATGTGATTCTGCAATCTGTATATGGGCTAAAAATGGGAGTTCATAACCCACTTGAAGCAAAGTGTGAAAGATGATAGATCAAGAACTATGTAATGTTTTGAACAACCAACAATAAAAAAAAAAAAAAAAAAAAGGACTTCTGGAGATTCACAGAATGAGACCTGAGATAATGATTGATCAGATCACAGTTTAACCAATAATGCTTAATTATGCATATCTCTTACCCCTACCCCAATTCTTCTTCTATTTAAACCTAAAACTCATGTCAATACCCCAAAGACAAGGTTGAGATGCTTAATGTCACTCTGTCTTTCCAATATGGCTATCAATAGAGTTCTTTTCACCATACTTTTTCCATTTTGAGTGGCGGGCCTGATCTGTTGGTATCTGAAGAGTCAGGACTTTGGCCTAGAGCTCCAGTAATAACTAGTTGTGTTTCTTCATCTAAAAAACAGATTTTATTATATCTTGCTATAAAGATTAACATGTAATAAAACTAGTACACACAGTGTAAATATATTAGAGGTACACTTAAAAGCCTTTAACATGAGAGAAAATGAGGGTTTAGGAAATATCCACAAATGAAGCAGTGAAAATTCTCAAAGTAGGTAGTAACAGAGAAGACACTGATGAGTGAGCTTTCAAGAATGCTCAGAGGGGCTAAGGTTGTGGCTCAGTGGTACAGCACTCGCCTAGCATGTGCGGGGCACCTGGGTTCAATCCTCAGCACCACATAAAAATAAATAAACCAAATAAAGGTACTTGTCCATCTACAATTAAAAAAAAAAAAGAATGCTCAGAATTAGACTTTGGGAAAAGAAAAATCAGCAAAACAAAGACCCAGCCAGAGAAAGAATTATTAAAATTAAAATTTTTAAATTTTTCTGATTTAAAAATTGAAATCAGAACCACACATATGCTAGTAAGTACTCTACCACTGAGCTACATCTCAGATGGAGAGTAGTATCTTTATGAAATAAATACTTTGGCAACCATCTTACAGAAGATGGTTAAAACACAGATAGCCTGAACACAGTAAGGTCAGCATTTGTTTGGGGTAGGAGGTAGAATAAAAATACTAGAAACATTTGAAATACCCACTGGATGGAAGCCTGGAGTCCCAGAGTTAGTGAAAGGGTGATACAGAAACTAAGGTCCTTCATTGTCTTATTCATTTATCTGCGTAGGACTTCAGTGGTTCTTTATACATGCATAGTAGAAGGGCAAGCCCTGACAGTAAGGCCTAAAGGGTATATACACAGACACTCAGAAGAAAATCTAGTCAGTGTGGTGGTGCATGCCTGTAATCCTAGCTACTTGGGAAGCTTGAGGAAGGAGGAGATAGTCTGAGGCCAGCCTGGGCAATTTAGTGAGACCTCTCTCAAAATGAAAAATCAAAAGGCCTGGGAACATAGCTCAGTGATAGAGCACCCCTGGATTCAATCCCAGTACATAAACATAAATACACACACACACACAAAGTAAAAATCTAAAAAAAAAGCTTAAGTGCACATTCACATTATGTCCCAATAAAAATAATCAACAGTTTCAGAGAAATTAAGTGTATAGTTTCAACACAAATTTATAATTCAACTTCTCAATTATCAAAGGTTCTGTGTTTTAGTATTGCAGTGTTAGTGTTCAAGAAATTCTCACTTTACTTGATACAGTCCCAAACTACAAGAGTAGTGATGCTCACAATTTGGATATGCCAAAAGAAGCCATAATGTGAAAAAGTCAAAGTTATTGACAATAATTAAAAAAAAAAAAATCATATGCTGAGGTTGCTAAAATCTACAGCTAAAATCCATTGTTGTTAATCTCTTACTGTGCCTAATTTACAAAGTAAACAGGAATATATATCTTGAAAAAAAGCCCACCATAAACAATACAGTGTAACAACTATGCACATAGGTTTTTATATTTTATTATTTAAATAATCTAGAAATGTTTAAAGTATACAAGAAGATGTACAAATGTTATATTGCAAATATTATGTCATTTTATATAAGTGACTTGAGCATCTTCAGATTTTGATATATAATAGGGGTAGAGGTCTTGAAACTAATCTCCTGTTGGTACAAAGTGATTATATTCACTCAGAGCCTTCTAGGTATGTGAATAAATATGCTATGGAAACAAAGCAGACTAAATCCCTGACTTCTTGGAGTTTACATTCTAGTACGGAGAATAACAAAAAACAGGTATAATAGTAAAAGGATCTCAGATAACTATAATAGGAAAAAAAAAGATAACAAAGGAGAGACTAGACAGTGGAGGTGGTGGTAGTGATCAGAGAAGGCCTCACTGATGAGGTGACATTTGAGCAAAGACATGAAAAAGGTGAAGGAGTAAGTCATGTGACTAACTAAGTAAAAGTCTGAGGCTGAGGAAACAATGGTGCAAACACCAAAGGTAGAAGCAGGCCGGAGGGTCAGAGCAGAGCAAGCAAAAAGGAGAGTAACAAAAACTGAAGTAAAAAAATCGGGGGTAGGGAACTGAGGTACATACAAAATGTTCAGGCCAATTGCAAAAACTTACCTTTTTATAAGGAGAAATGTGAATAACTAAATTCATTTAAAACTTTATTTTTCCTTTGAAAAGAAGCTACATGAGCTATTTTACCTTACGAAACTGATAAAATATCATATTAAAATATTTTTCAAAGGCAAGCTGAACAAGCTTTTTATAAACATACTTCAGTTAATTTTATACATTCTCTCAAATGCGGACATCTGAACACACAGGACTCATCTATCATACTTACAAAGAAAAGGATGTCAATCTTCTACAAAAAACTGAAAATCCTTTTGCAAACATTCACATTTAAAAGGAGGGGATTAAGTTGACCATGAACATATGGAAAGTTTCTTGTAGGCATAAAAATCTAAAATGACATAGCTCAGTGGCAGAGTGTTTGCTACCAAGTACAAGGCTCTGGGGGTTCAATCCCCAGAACTTAAAAACGGAGGGAAAAAACCCTTTCATGTTGAATCAAATAAAATAATGTCTATGATAAAACAAAAAGTAACAATTAGAATTCTATGTTAAAATAAAGAAATATAGCAATAGAATTCTTACCAAAGTCATCAACATTAAAGTAAATGAAAGCCAGGAATGGTGCTGTACCCCCATAAAACTAGTGACTTGGGAGGCTAAGGGAGGAGGACAGCAAATTTAAGGCCAGCCTCAGCAATTCAGCAAGGCCCTAAAAGCAACTTAGTGAGACCCCTGTCTCAAGTAAAAATAAAAAGGGATGCAGATGTAGGTCAGTTGTAAAGTACCCCCAAGTACCAAAAAAGGTATAAATGAATGAATGAATAAATAAAGTAAATGGAACTCTACTGTTTGTAGCATCACTAATTCTCCGTGTAAAAAAATAAACTGTTTCTTGGACAATATTTGTGACAAAACTTTTCATTCACATATAAATCTGTGGCCTATCAATTTACATTATTAGAGAAGATGCCCCAGTTAAGAAGAAACAGGATTTATTTCCTTTAATATCCTCAGTTTTTATCTCTGTTAAATTTTAGCTTAAAACCAGCGAGCATCTATAGATGAACAGATATCTTCAGGGAAATACATCACAAATGAAATAATTCATAAACTAAAAAATGTAAGTTGAGTCCATACCCACCCATATTGATTCTAATTATTATGAAGTTCATTATAAGCATAGACTTTTAAATTTTATGGGTTTATAATGGCAAAATTCTATGGGAGCTACTATTTAACAGGATCTTTGTGTAAGATTTCTGTTCTTAGGAACTGAGAGAAGTACAGTATCAAAGGAATATCCTAATTAAAAATATCAAAGGAATACTACTACTTCTCCAAATTCACTATGCATATATCTGTGCAATCTGGCAACACCAAAATTTGTTCAACTGCAGGTATTCTTTCCCAACAAATATCATAAAAATCTAGCTCTAACAAAATTTTTGTCCTATTTTTTTTTTAAATTTGTTTTTAGCAAAAATATTTCTAAGATCTATTTGACTACTTATTTTAGGAATGTAGGCAGTCTAACCACAATTGGAGCTATTTGAATACAGTTCTAGCATTACTTCGAATTATAAACAATGTTAAAGAACTGAGCAAAAATTTAAAAAAAAAAGCATAATTTCTTGAAGAACATTATAGACTCTCAAATAGAATTAGATAAAAACTACTCAAAGACAGAAAACCTACTGGCACTGTTTTGAAAAATACATTTATAATCAGACTATATCTTAACCACTTCTACTGCTGCACTTGTTACCAAAATGAGGTAACAATGAGGCCTATTACAGAAACTTATATAATAACATTTATAATGCTTATCCCCTACTCCTATTATCTTGATATATTTTTCATTTTCTCATAGTATTTATCTTTTAATATACTGTGAGCTTTATTTGTATTTATTATTCATATTCATCTGTTCATCCTTATTAGATCATAAATTTTTGTAAAGGCAGCAATCTTTGTTTCATTCTTTAATGTACTCTTAGCACCCAGAACCGGATCTAAGTAATCAAAATTTTTATAGTAAGAATAAATAAGTTTCAGATATGAAACAAATATGAAGAATAACTATTTTTGAGACACATTATAACAAAAATACACATAATGTATTCTTATTACATAGGGGTGACCATACCAGATAGAATAAGGAGTTCAATGATTTCTGCATCTCCAAGGTAGGCAGCAGCATGTAATGGGGTTCTCTTTTCATTGTCCTGTAATAAAAAAGGAAAGACAGCATATTGGTTTCAAAATGAAGTTTATTTTATACAGCTTAAATGAAGAAAAATATTATTAATTTTCAACTTATTATTTCAATAACTCTAGCATGCAAGTCCCACTGACAAAACATAGGTTATTAGGTTATTTCCTTGATAAGAAAAGCCTTAAAATTTTTCTTTTTTGGCCTTGAAACAATAGTCTAGGTTGAGCATATTTATGTTGAAAATCTGATATCCAAAATGTGCACAAGTACCAAATATTTTTCAGGGTTTTAATGACTCAAATAGAAAATTTCATATCCAGAAACTTTGTTTCATGCACAAAATTATTAAAAATGTTGTATAAATATTATCTTCAGGGTATGTGTTTCAGGTTTATATGAAGCAAGTGAATTTCATGTTTAGATGTGGGTCCCATCCCCAAGAAATCTTATTATGTATATGCAAACATTACAAAATTGGAAATCTAAAATCCAAATTACACTGGAGCATTTTGGCAAGGAACACTCAATCTGTACAAAGTGCATTAAAGAATAAAAACAAAAATTTAGATGACAAAAAAACTGCTTCTCAGTCTTTCTTACACTGCTATTATACACGGGAAAATTCTTCTATACAATATTTTTTTCCCTTTCCAATATAATTTCAGTTTTATATAGTCTAGTTGTTGACTTAATAAAACAAATCTTAACAAACTAAGAGACTTGCTTATCAAAATGTTTCAACAGGAATACTCACAGTGGCACAAAGAAACTGTTTCTAGAGATTTGAAATTATCTTTTTTGTCCATTAAGGTTTTTTCCTTAATGTTCTTGCCATTTTAACTTTTACAGCCAAAACATGAATGTCATTTTTAAACATAAGAAAACACATTCTTCCAAATCTTCCTCCAGGAAAGAAAATTACATTTATTATGCTTCATGGACCTCCTTCCCCCGAACAATACTGTCTTCTAGTTGGAGAAGCAAGGTCTTAGGACAATATCACATTCAGGGATTTTATAATTAACAGATCCCATCTAAAGTTCCAATGAAGTATTGCTGACTTGACTACATTTGAAAACTATTAATTTAGAAATACTTATTTTTTAAGTTCATATCCAATGTTTCTGATGTAGGCTTTTATGACAGACTATTAGTTGTTTTCTGCCTTGTCTCCCCTTTGTCCATAGAACTAATGTTTCAGCTAGTCACTCAGCCACAGAAAAGGATACATTCCTACCCTACAGAGTTACTTATGATCAGAACAATGGTATATGCTTGCAAGTTAATAGGCAAACAACTTCCAGATCATCTTCAACTTATAAGACAACTACCTCAGAGGTGGACTAATATTTTCCCACTTCCTTCAGGCTGGAAAGCAGATGTGAAATTGAGCACGCTTTGGCCATGTAGATGTAGACCAAAATCCTAGCTGACTTCCAAGAAACAAGTTTCTGAATGATCTCATAGAACAAAATTGCCCACCAGTTTGGACCACTAACTTCCAGACTATTAAGAGAAATAAACTTATGCAGTTTACCATTTGGGAATAATTATTATAGCTCAAGATTTGTTTTAAAATAAAAAGTTTATTTTATAATAATTTTCTATTTGGGGAATCACTCAATTATTCTAAGAGAGTTGAGAGACTGAGAATAAATTAGGAGTTAAAAAAAATACCAGGCAAAACAGGGGTTAAACATTGACAGGTAATAATAATGATGATATATTATAAGGGAGGTTGGTATACTGCTATTAACATTAAATTGCTTAGTAAGCTAAAAAGAGTTCTTGTCTAACCATAGTTAATTTCAACAAGACCATGTTTTTTATTCTAAGATATGTCTCAAGAAATAGAATACACTGCACAGAAATTATTCAACAAATAATTACTAAAAAAAAGCTAACAGAAATATCTAGCTATCAAAGCTGAGTACTGATTTAGTCATTTTTTAAAAAGAGATTCTTGGTCTAGGCTTTTCAATGCTAATCACTAAAACAGCAAACTTCCTCAGTGTTTAAATATGATCCAATCTAGTCAAATTGAGAAATATATCTATCACACAGGGGAAAACAAACACATAACACAATGACACATAAAGTGAGTCATTTGTATGTGAGAGATGTCTGGAATTCTGTGATTCATTGCCTCAAATCCTATTAATGTATTTTATGACTCACATGAACATAATTTTTCCTCTTTACAAATAAAATTTTTAAAAAAGGAGAACTGATTAAAGGCTGGGGTTGCTCAGTGGTACAGCACTTGCCCAGCATACGTGAGACACTGTGTTTGATCCTCAGCACCACATAATAAAATGAATAAATAAGAGAAAGGTACTGTGTCTATCTCAACTTAAAAAAAAAAAAAAGGCAATAAAATATTTATTATTCCCATCATCAAAATGTGTTAAGATAAAGTTTAAAAAAAGATAATCTCTTGATACAAAGTAATTACATGTCAAGAAATTTTTAAAATAAAAGATATTTCTACATGTGCACAGAATCAATGATTAACTATACTGACTCAAACAAAATGCTGGAAACAATATTGATGCTTCTCAAATGGTTACCTAAAATTATGGTACAGAAGAAGCTCTTAATCTTCATTTAACAGATCCACATGATTAATCAATACTCTTGAATAAAATGAATGATGTTTTTGATACACTAAGTATTTTGATTAGTAGTATATTATTAACACACACATTTTTGTTGACACAATGGCTGTGTGTTTATCAAGGGTAAGATATGTTTGTGAACACTTTTGTTTGTGCTAACTGGATCCATTATCCTAGCAATATAATTTATCTAACAGCCTACAAACTGATGATATGAAAATCCTAAAAGAAAAAAAAAAAGGCTGTTATTTCATTATCCCAGGCTAAATACTATAAATAGACCAAATAAAGACTTGCTACCAAAAAAAGAAAGTGCTATTTACTGCATATGGCTAAAACAAGGAAACACTAATTCGAACAACAAACAGTAAAAGTCTCAAGGGTTTGCCTTAAGTTTGTTTCCTAAGGACCTAATTTCTCACATCACTTAAAGAAACTCAAAAGGCACAAATAATGCATTGTGGGTATGATCTAAGCAAGAAAGAGGACAAAGGACTCCCATCAGTGGACAATACATTATCAATGAAAAAGTCTAGAATCAATTAAAAAAAAAAATCAAGCCAGACTGGGTGCCACATAACTATAATTTAAGCAACAAGGGAGGACAAGGCAGGAGGACTGCAGGTTCAAAGCCAACTTCAGAAACTCATTGAGGTCCTGTCTAGAAATAAAATTAAACAAAAAAAAGTCTGGAGCCACAGCTCATGGTAAATCATCCCTGGGTTTAATCCCTAGTGTATACACATGGATACATAACAAATACACACAAAAACAAAATCAGCTAGTGCACATACATTGTTACCCTGAAATGCTTAGAGATCACTTTTAAGATTCCCAACTACCACTTATTAACATTATTAGATAAGAGGACTGTAGATCCACACAATGAAATATTATGCTTCTAATTTAAAATAAGGAACAGACCTCAAAATTCCTATCAATGAAACAATCTCTACTGCACAGTGTTAAATGTAGCAGAGCAACTGTGCATATATATATATATATATATATATATATATATATATATATATATATATAAAGATTTATTATATGCTTAAGCTTCAATATATATTAACTATTTCTGAGTAAAAATACTCGAACACAGTGACTGACTTTGAGGAAGTCAGAAAGCTGGTTGAGTAGAATTTCAAGTATGAGAGTCATTTTGTACTGTTCAGGTTTCTTAACAATGCACATGCTTCAAAAAAGTAAAAGATAAAGATGGCCCAAAAGTCCGCTCACTAAAACAGATCATATTGAAGAGTAAGATATTCTGACAGGTGTGAATGAGGCAATACACTGTAAAGTAGCAGGGAAGTGACAAGATCCCTGTGGAGCATCAAACCCAAGATAGGACCTCAGAAAGAAAAATGAGGTAAACTGTCTCTCCCCAGACTGGCTAGGAACCAAGATGTCTCCTTATGGGGCATGGTAAGCTGGAGACCCCAAAAGTCCCTACTGCCACTGAAGACTACCCAGGAGACTCTTATGTCCCTGGATAGTTTATAGAGTTGCTGAGAATTCATCCAACTGTATTGCCACAGAATACAGCCCATGTATATATCCTCTACAACCATGATATAAGCTGCTATGATCTGGTATCATCATGAAAACAGATCCACCTCTAGAGCACATACCTCCTGCAAGGGGCTCGTTAGTCACAGGATAACCCCATACTAGAGACTGTTATCATTCCACCATGATTACATACATTGGGTTGCAGCACCACAATCCTGGCTGCTCAGATCCTAGGCTCAGTAGAGAAGGTGAGCCCCCAGTTTCCAAACAGGGAGCCAGCAGACTGCACAGAGGAGAAGTCAAAACACAGGGGTGGCTTGTGTGTGCTTATGCTTATGCTTGACCAGACAGCCCACTGCATAGCTAGTTGAACCACAGCACCCATGCACACCCAAACCTAGTCTGACAGTCATCCAGGTGGCAGCACAGCTCCACCACAAATACACATTTGCAGCCCAGGCCATTAGTGTAACTATAGGCATCACTGTTAAGAATTACAAGAAACTTCAGAGGCAACAATACTGAGTTCACCCCAAATCAAAGTTTATATACCATACCAGGAAAAAAACAAAAAAACAAAAAAACCCTATCCTTGTGGAAGAAAAAAAAATACCAACAAAATCGGAAAAGGTGATTGTTGCACAGATAACAGTGTAGGGATAACAGATAACATGAATAAGAAAGAAACAAGGCACCTTCAAAGATTATTTTTCAGTGTCTAAGCCAAAAAAAAAGTAAATTTACAAAATGTCTGAAAAAGAATTCAAAACAATCCATGAACACTTAGTGAGATAAAAGAAAACTGACAAAAAAAATTTATCAATGAAATCAGGAAAACAATTCATGACCTGAATGAGAAATTCAACAAAGACTT